GTTTGCCAGAAACATGCCTTCAGCCCCATCCTCCACCTCTGCTCTTTGCCCTTCCCCTGCACCTGGGTGAGACCCACGACCCCTTTCATGTCGCACTTCTGGTTCTGTCCTCCCTTGGGCCCTCCTTACTTATATGGCTTCATCAGCCCTTGTGATGCTGAGTGGCCAGCCACTGGACACGAGGCCTGGCTGGGGCCGGGGCCATCTTGCTCATGGCATAGCAGAGTGTCCCAGAGCGTCAGAATATCAGAGTCCAAAACAGCTGTGTGTCTTGCCCTCATGGATTTGCATTGTATGGCAAAGGGGTAGGGACTGCCAGGTAATACTAAGTATGTTTTATAGTATGTGTGAAAGCGATACATGTTACAGAACGAACAAAAAAGCAGAGGTCAAGGCAAATGGGTGTGGGTGTGCCAGGGGTGAGGTAAAGTGGGTGGTCAGGGTGGGGCTCACTGAGAACATGACATGATGCTCAGGCAAAGACTTAGAGGAGGGGAGCAAGTGAGTCATGAGGGTGAGTAGAGAAGAATGTTCTCAGTCAAAGGAAGAGCCAGTGACAGAGGCTATAAGGTAGAGGGCTGCCTGGTCTATACAGAGCCAGCAGGGAGTCCTGAGGCTGGAATTAAGGGAGAGGACACGCCAGAGTGGGAGGTGAGGTCAGAGAGTTCGTGGGGGGTGGGCAGGGCACCTAGGGCCTTGTGTGTCATTGGCACAGCTGGTTTTTATTCTAAGAAGGCACTGAGAAGTTTCACCTAGAGCGTTCTCTAGGTGATGCTATCTGACTTGTTTTCCAAGCATTCTGGTTGCTAAGTGGGAAGTGCAGAGTCATTTGTGTACACCCCGACTCTGCACCCCAGTGCCCCACCCTTCAGCATGGCCCACTCTGCTAAGGCTGCTTCTACGTAACGGCTTTGGCCATCTCCCCCATGGTCTCTAATCCCCAGCCTCTTTAGTCCAGAGGGCTACTTTTGGGCATATGTCCTTTCCCAAGAACCCACATTTTCACCTACAGTTAGCAAGGAAATATAGCAATCCTGTGCTGGATGTCATCAGTTAGGCATGTCACCCAGTGCTGAGACATGCTTTTGGGATTAAACTCTTCTTACTCCTGACTGGTTCAGCCCTCATTAGTCTTCAAGTCCTTGATCAATTATCACCCTGCCCAGGAAGCCATGAGACTTTTATCTGAGTTCTCAAGAGATAAAAACTTCAGGTGAACCTGGCTTGCCCAAGGTCACAGAACCTAGACTCCAGCCAACTCCCAGACATCAGCCAGCATCAACCTCCCAGCAGCCACCTGAAACAGCCAGAGCCAGCATTTCTGGGTTCTCCATACCTTAGAAAGCCCAGCTATGTGCACAGCCAAGCTGTTTCTCTTCCTCCCTTGTACATGCCTCATGCCTCTTAGAGGATTCCACTTACACAGGACTGCATACTACACAGAATTACTCTTTGGCATGAGGGAAAACTGTTGAAGCACTATTTCTGAGAATCTGCTCTGTACATAAGACTCCCTGAGGCTCCAACGGGAGACTAATAAACTGACCCACTGAGAAGCTGAGTCCTGCCCTTCCTGTCTGCCTCGATCCACAGACAGGTGTCTGGGTGGGAAACTGGTCGACCCTGTCAGGTGGCTGTTCCTGCACCATCTTGCTCTCATCTGCTGGCTGAGCCCAGATCACTACAGGCAGGTAGGGAGTATAGCTGTAAAAGGGGAGGACAGAGGGAGCAGACAGACATCTCCCTGGGCCAAGAGAGCAGGAGGCCCTGGCTCTGGAGACCAGGAAGAGATTTAGGTGGAGAGCTGGAGACAAGGAGTGTGGAGAAGGTGCTGAGTGCTTCACGGGGCCTCCGGGCGCTTCTCCCCTGGTCCACCCAGAGCACTCCCCATCCTGCCCGCCACCTCTCACCTCCACCAGGACAACTCCTACCTGTCCTTCAGGTCTGGGTGCCAACGCCCTTCTCAGGGAAGCCTTCCTGGAATGCCTCATTGTTCTCTGAGGAGCTCCGCACCTTCTCCACTGCCTTTCCCATGAAGGGAACTGAACGTGGAGTTGTGCACGTCGCTGCCTGATATCCGACTCCCCTGATAAACAGTGAGCTACGCTAGGGCAGTGCAGCTAAGTGAACTGACTGGGCCTCTTATGCCACTAGCCTCTGTGGCTATCACCGGTGGCCACCATCATGTTAACAAAGATGGCGCTTGGGAGCGTGGGAGCGTGGGTGCAGAGCCTGAGTGTAGACACCTGGAGCCGGGCAGGCGCGCATGCCTGAGTGTTCACACCTGAGCTTAGCATTGCTCAGACGTAGCCTGGGGAGATGACTGCGAGAGCGTGAGTGGCCTGACTACTCAAGAGAGAATGCCAGAGAGCCCAAAGAAAAGTGCAGAGATTCGCAGGGGGCTGGGAGGTTCCCCTGCTGTCTACCCCCCAACCCCCGACCCGTGCCTGGCTGCCCCCCAACAGGCAGGCTGTACATTGGACACTGCCGGTGTGCACAGCCTGGCCCAGTGCTGGGCCGGGGTCAGCAGAGACTCCGGGGAAGCTCATCTCATTTAGTGGGAACAGCACAGGTGCAGCTGAGCTCTGCTGCCTGGGCAGGCAGAGGGGGTTCTTTTCCACAAAAAGCCAAAGTTATATTTATAACGTCTCTCTTGTAAAACATGAGGTTAGGAAAGATTAGGACGTGTCTCTGGGACTAGTGAAGGGCTGATTCTGGGTCCCCGGCAGAGGGGTAGGGCTCATCTCAGCACCAGAGTCTGAAATCGCCTCAGCTGAACTCATGGAACAGAGGGAAATGGCCTCACGTCTCCATTCTACATAGACAAAAACACCAGTGACAATAACTTGGAATCTGCACATCAGCCCCCCTCTCCTGACGTCATTCCTTACCATGGACTCCACAGAAATTACAATCCATTTAAGAAAGTTTCCTGGTAAAAATAACTATTTTGAGTTAGTATGTAAGTTATGGTGGATAGGAACAGTCCTTTAATTGGAGCTGCTCTTTCTCCAGCTGATGGCATCAGATGAGTCGAGTGTCATAGTTCGAAATACCCTTCTATTTAAAAGGGTTTGTGCTAGTGAAGGGACAGACCCCACTGTCCCTTCACTAGCACAAACAGTCAGTGGCCATGGAGTGAGACCAACATGGCTCGACAGCTGGACACTATCTGCTAGACAGCAGCTATCGAGAGCCTTGTAAATGTTCACACCAGTCTAAGCATCAGTTGTAAAGGGATAATTAGAGTTATTAGGTGTTCTGGAGCAAACATGTTCATGGGCATCATTATTTATCACTGTGAGGAACTGAAATAACACAAAAGCTAAAATACAATTCAGAAGAGAATGGTTACATAAATTATGATTCATTACAACTGTAGGATACGTCACGCTCAGTGAAAACTAAGGCTGAGAATTGTACACTAATATCAGATAATGCTTCTGTGTAACTTTTCTTGTGCTTAATAAAAAATAAAGTCCCCAACTGGAAACACAGTAATCTATACATATATACAAGCCACACCCAAGGCAAAGCCGTGGTTATCTTTGGGTTATAATGTAACAAGTGGATGCCTTTGTTCTAGAGTTTCTGGGTTTGTCCAAAAAGCCAAATTGTTTCATAATTGGGAAAAATAACAAAAGTAATGAATAGACAACAATTGTATTAAAATGAAATGCATTAATAAAGGATGACTTCCTTTACTGTACTTGATCAGAAAGTATATTCCTTCGGTGTTTTATCACAAACAAAAACCAAAAAAAATAGAAGGAAAGAGGGGTAGACACACTGATCTCAGGGAACCCGGCCACTGATCTCAGGGAACCCGGCATCCTTATCCATCAACTAAAAGATGCAACAGTAGTCCTGTGGCTTGAGTGTTTTCCTTCAGTCTTGCCCTGTTCATTTCTGTATCTGAATGTCACATGGTCTTTCTTAAAGGAATTCACTGCCTTAAGGATATTGGGACATATAGGGAATCCTTCTCTGCTTCATCACTCTTTCTGCCCCTCCCCCCCCCGGGTCAAACCACTCCACCATGGGCCTCAGAGTCCCAGAAAGAGAATGAAAGATCTGTAGAGGGTCCATTCCCACTACGGCTATGATTCTTTGCCCTTCTTTTCTCAGGAATACAGTCCCCACCCTTAAAAATACTCTTTCAAATGCTCTTTAACATCGAATGATCTTTCTGCTCAGACGGCAGAGGAGTATAAAAAAGAAACAGTTTCCCACGAAGTCATTCATCACAGGAATAATTTCAACTCAGGCCGACCACCTCTCTCCCAACTCTGGCTAGTGCTCTGGACACTAGGCCCAGCTCTCAGCAAGAGAGGTGAGACGGTTGCTCGTCCCTGAGCAATTGATATGCAGCCCACTCAAATATCTCAGTCTCACTATCAGCACTCACATCAGTCCTGTTGCATCCTCATGCATCGAGGAAGGAAATCACCACCAACACCATCTTCTTCCACAGGTGTGAAAACGAGAAGGTGTAATAAAATGACCAAAGGCCATGCCTGACCTTGTTGTAAATGCCCCTTCTTATTTCTTCCTCAAGACTTTACCCTTATCTCCTAAATCGCCAGTTCTATCTAGGATTTTACAGTCCCCTACCTCACACATTCTTTTCCTAGCCATTTCTGCACACCATTTGCTAATCCCTCCTGGAAGATGCTGATAACCTTGATGGTGTCTTCTCCACCCTCTCTGGTCCCTCACAGCACTCATCCTTCCCTTCTAAAACAACACATTGCACTTCTATCTGTCTCCTGCCAACCTAACTAACTCCAGGCTCTGAGGTTAAAGAACCATTTCTGCAAAGATCATTCATGAACCTGCACACCTGGCTGAGTCCCAACACATTAGCTCAACACTGGACTAACAGAAGAACTTCAGCGCAATCCAGCAAAACGTGGAGACAGGTAGAGACACGACTAGCCCAGGCTGTGGCAGCCCCTCATGCAGGGCTCACCCCAGTGGCGACTGGCGCACTCGCCTACCTTTTTAGTCTTCACGGTAGAAGCACAGCAATCCCCACCGTCATAGTTGCAGAAGGCTCGGTTGTTGATGGCGTCACAGTAATTGTCTCCCATAAAGGGCTGTAAGAGACAGAGAGGGAGGGAGGGAGGGAAGCAGGTCTTAGGCTGCGTGGCAGGATGGCTGGAAGCTGGGCTCTGCCGTGGTTTGAGTGTCTCTCCTCTCACCAACATCTACCGCCTCCCTGATTTCAAGCCCCAACCCCCTGTAGGGTAAACGAAGATGGTTAGGCTTCCATGCCGCTAGTCTCTGCGGCTATCACCAGTGGCCTTGATTGTGCTGATGCAGGGGCGCGGCTCGGGAGCGTGGAGCGGGGCACGTGTGCCTGATGGCAGACTCCTGCAGTGCCGAGTGGGCGCGAGTAAGTGTGCACAGCTGAGCCTGGAGGCGGGGCTGTCAGGGTGGTGCCACACAGCACAGAGAGTGGCTATGAGAGGCAGAACCACAGACCATGCCAGAGAGAACCTGAAGAGAAAGACTAAAGATTTGCTGAGGGCTGGGAGGCTTGCCAGTCCCCCTTCCCCCCTCCCCTATCCTGCCAGCCTGCGGGCTTGCCCCACTGCAACTGGTGTAGAAAGAGCATTAAAGCCTGGAAAACTCCACTGAAGGCTCCATCCACCTGCCCCAGCAGATAGAGAAGCTGCCCTGTGTGGGCTGCCACAGCAGGCCTAAGACAGGCAGAGCCTGGAGGCAAGAGCTGTGCGAAGTGCACGTGTGCACGCTGCAGCGTGACAGCCGTGATGCCAGACCTCACGCGCTGCATCCACACAGCTGACAGATACAGCTCAGCCCCGCTTTGCTCTGCTCTGGCAGGCCTGAGGCAATCTGCCTGTGGCCTCTGCTCTGCACCTTCTATACATACCATGTGGAGCAGACTACATAAGACCAGTGTCCCTTCTTGGGATAAAAAGAACAGGCGTGGTGAAAGAGAAAAAAGAGTAAATGAAAACAGTTCATTTTTTAGTTTGAGCCCTGAAAAAATGTCCCGTCTTGGCACAAGCGACTTTCCTCTCTACTCGCCTTTCCCTGTAGCCACATCTCTGAATCTCCCCAGCCATCCACTGTCAGCCCATCTGCCCTCTAGGCAACTCTAGGCTTTGAGTTTGACAATTACGATTAAAATGCCTATTGTGTGTTACACATTGCCATTAAAAATAAAGATGTAATCAGGCCCTCCCTGTTGGCTCAACAGGTTAAAACTCAGCACTGCAAGCTAGCAGCAGCTGCTTCATTGTGAGTTCGATCCCCAGCCCCAGCGTGACCCACATGGCACAGCAGACCTCTCCTGTCTCACTCACTGCTCCCCTCAGCAGTGTACTTCATCAGTCTGCCTGTTCTGCTCCCCACTGTCTCTGGTGAATCCTCTCACCGTCCCTGCACTTCTGGCCTGTACCCCAGTTCTGTATGCATAAATAAATAAATCTTAAAAAGAAGTAAAGATGTAATAATGTGTCGAGACACACAGACTTCTTTAGACCTTGCACTATAGTGAGAAAGCAGACTCTTCAAATAATCAATGAGCTACCTTCAACTCTGGAGGAAGGTACCTGGTGCAGCTAGAGCAAAGAACAGGAGGATATGCCTACTCAGGGAGCTTCATCAAAGCGGCTCTGAGGAAATGGCATTCAGCTGAGCCCGTGAGATGAGCAGGAGTCAATTCGATGGGGGAAGAGGGAGAAGTCCTAGAGAGAAGGAATAGCGCAGAAAAAGCAGTGCTCCTGTTTCTCATGCTGTTACTTCTACTATCATGTGTTCTGGCAAAAACAGTTCATCCTTCAAGGTCTAGCCCAAAGTCACCCCTCCAAACTGTCTTCCATACCCCTAGGGTGCTCTGTGCGTCCCCAACTCCTCGCACTTGCGTTTTAGAATTCTCTCTATAACTGTCTACCTCCTCTGAGTATATGGTAAGTCCCTTTTGGACAGGGAACACCTGTCATCCATTTTTAGATCCTGGATTTACTAGCAAAATGCCTGGCAATTGGAGCAAAACGTACATAAATGTTTCTTTGACGTTGTTAGCAAAACCGTGGCTAGATGGAAGGAGGGAGGAGGATGGGCAAGAAGCGATCAACAATGAATGGGGGAACCGGAGTCAGGAACAGTTACATATCATACTGCAATATGATCCCCATGACCCAGAGCTGTGCCAGGTACACAGTAGGAATGAGGTGAAGTTCAGAGGAAAAAGAGGGTAAACAGTGCTTTGGACACAGCCTGGAATAGAGGGCAGGAGGTTCTCTCCGATCAGGGCTCCCCAAGACAGACTCCCGCCTGGAAGTTCCTCCCGAGGTAGCTTTTGTATTTTTTTCAGCACACTTTTTAGCCCCAGGCCAGAGATAAATAGGAGCTTTAAGCCAAGGAGGAAAAGGAGCCGAGGGGCAGCTGCAAGGGCAAAGGCGATAAGCATCAGCAGCGAGGCCCAGAGCCTGGCAGGTGAGGGTCTCTCAAAGTGCTGAGTCAGAGGAGGGATCCAATTCTGCTGTCACACTGCTTGCCTTGACCGCCAGCTCAGCAGGACGAGAGCCCAGGGAACCCAAGCTTTCTTTTTATGAAGTGCCGGAATTATCCAGAGAGATGGAAGGAAGCACCGCCACAGGAGTCTGAGCTGAATCTTGGGAGAATTGCAATGCCAAGTACCCTGAGAACAGCCACAGGGGTCCCCAACCAATACACAGAAAGCAACGCACCACCATGGGCTGCCCTGTGATACTTACAGGTCAGGGGACGGCTCATGGCAGCAGGTGAGCTGGTGGGAGAGAAAAGGCACAACCATGCGCAGGGCGGGCAGGGAGGCCGGGAGGCTGGGAGGCCGGCAGGCCCCCCGAGCCCCCGGCAAATCTTTACTCTTTCTTTTTGGGCTCTCTCTGGCGTTTTCTCGCGGTCTCTTCCTCTCACAGCCATTCGCTGCAGCGCGGTTCTCAGCGTGACACCACCCTTACAGCCACAGCTTCCAGGCGCAGGCGTGCACATTTGCGCGTGCGCACTCCGCGCGTCAGGGGACCACCATGGGGCGTGCGTGCCCCGCCCCACGCTCCCACGCGCCTCCTGCGTGCAAGGCCGCAGGTGATGGCCGCAGAGGCTGGCGGCGTAATTCTTGACCACCTCATTTACCCTACTACAATTGGGCTCACGCTTTGCCTCTGTGACTAGTAGGTTGTGGAACCTTGGGCCACCTTCTCTCTGACGCTCCTACCCCAAGAATGAGTGGGGTTAGAACACAGTCTTCCATCTGTTCTTAGACCTGGCCACTCTCTAGCTCTGGGCCTCTCCATCTTTGGAAAACAAATTTACATTTGCACATCTCGAAGAATATTTCTAGTTCTGACCTTCTAAGAATTTCAACAAATACCTTTTCCTTGAACACGTTCTAGTCCTTTTCACTAGCGTTTTTCTGGGGCTCTGGGGAACACCAGGGTTTGGACATCCACCTGAATGGGATTTGGGGTTGCCTTTTCACTGCCAGCTGAGAAGAACCACCAGGGGCAGAGACACTGAAATGTCTCTGGTTCCAAAGACAGCAGCTCCCTTGAGAACACAGGTGCCAACCAAGAACCCTGCTCCTGTCACTCCCCGAGTTTATCCCTAGGCTCAGAGATGGCTCGTTGGAATGCCAACTTCCTGGAATGAAACGGCTCATCTGCAAAGTCAGAGGGCATCTTCTACTGCCAGTTCAACAGCTGAATCTAAGGTGTCTGTATTCCTCTGGGGTCAAAAGACCAGGATACGGGGCAGGAAGTAACCTAGAAATAGTGATCATCTGAAAAGTAGGAGTTTTGAAAAGAGCTGTTTGTGTGGGTCCTGCAAGGTCAAGCAGCATATGTTGATGCCAGGTCAAAGGCTCCTCCCACACTGCCTACAGATTCTCCACCGGGCTGAACACAGGTTTGGGATTCAGAAAAAGCTGACTTGCAACCCTGTTACCTAGTGAGTATATATTTGATTGTATCTGTTGATAACTCTGGGCCTCAGTTCCATAGCCTGTCGAATGGGAACATTGATTCTTGTGCCAAAAGTTTGTTTGGGGATATTTGCAGCACTTACTGGAGACAGGGATGGTGGCCGTGATTAACGGAACAGTAGGATCACTTCTAGCGACTTACCTCACAGCCTTTGACACAGTGGATGAGAGAAGGATGAGGGTACCACTTGAGACCAGCTGTGCAGACAACTCTCTGCAGAGAGAGAGAGAATGCAAGAGATTAATGGGCTTGGGGCTGGGAGGGAGCCATCTCCAGCTGGCGCCACACTCAACCACCCCATCTCTTCATGCATCGTCCAAGTCTTGATCTCACCTTGGCATTTACATGAAGAATTTGGTAACTGCCATATCAGGCACCATACGATTAAAATAAAATGTGTGCTCACCATAGGTGTCACAATTCTGTTTTTCCCAGCAGGAAGGAGGGATGAAGAGGAGCAGAAGTAGGAGGTGGAGATATGATCAAAGCAGCCCTTCTTGGCTATCCTGACCAGGGAAGGAATTAGCGATGAGATGGGAGGAAAGAGGGGGACAATGTGTGAATGTACATAAATCTCTGCTGTAGCCATGCATGTGTCTGTGCACATGTGTCTGTGCACATGTGTCGTATATGACCCACACATGTGGTGGTTGTGCATGGTGCATGTGATAAATACATATATGTCTCATGTGTGCCTGAGTGTGTGTGTGTGTGTGTGCACACACATGGGTATGGCTGCTGCAGGAAGATGGTAGAGCAATGTGGAGCAGGGTTCCCCCAAGCAGGCTCTGAGGACCACTCTCACCAGAATCACTGCGAGAACACACACATTCAACATGTGGACCCACCGGTGCCACCTTAGATCTGACAAATCCAAACCTCTGAGGCCAGAACTTGGGGCTCTACATTTTAACAACAAGCCTCCCAGATGAATCTGATGCACACTGCAGTCTGAGAACAGTGGGCTGAGGGTGAACAGACCAACCTTTGATTCAGAACCCTGGAGATGCAAAAACACCCTTCCCTGCCTCCGCCTGCTACTGGGTCACACCAACCTGCTTGCAAGTCCCTGTTATCTCACTTTTGGGGTTCTCCTTCTAAATGAATGTGCTTCCCCATCTTGTCAACTGAGGAACATTTAGTTATCTTTTCAATTTCTGCTTAAGACCTTCCCTGTGGTGCTTTTCCTAACCTCTCAGGCTGAGCTTCTGGGTGTACATATATGTAGTTTTCTATAGCAGCCTTTAGTGACGGTGATTATGGTAAGGATAATGCCAACTGCAGTGCATCTGCAGAGCCTTCAGGGAGATGGACGCTTTTTGCAACACCTTCTGCAGTCTGGCATGTATTCTGTATTTCTACTATCATGAAGAGAGATGGACATTAGCCTTATGTCATAAGGAGAGGAAATTTCCCAAGCTCCATAGCTGGTAGCTAGAGAAATCAGGATTGGAAGCTAGGCAGCTATTTTGGAAGTGATGTAAGGCAGCTCATAACATCAAGTCCTACATGATGATAATATTTAAAGTAGATAAAAATGAGACAAAACTTGGGAGACCATCAGGATGACATAATAACACTAGTAGTCCCCTGCTCTGTTTTGTTATAGATGCCTTACTTTTCATGCCAGATTACAAAGATTTCTTAGAAAAGAGTAAAAATAACCCAGAGGCAAACGCTTAGATGTGCAATGAGGGGTAACTGTGTCGGGCCAGCCACAGAAGTCTATATGATCAGGGCTTGTTCACTTGGCTGAATGCCAGCTGATTCATTTTAAGAAATGAGCAATCACATAGGCCAGAATGTGGCAAATCCACGTGACCAGAGCTTTCTCTCCTGAGAAGACTTATATGAAAGCCAAACTGTAATTAGGTTTTTTGTAAACTTGGGACACAGGAAATCCTGTGAGGCCAAACTCTGGCCAAAGTTGAGTCGAATGTCTTTATTCTCTGATCTGTAGCATGTCTTGTTGACCCTTGGATCTTCCGTGCCTCAAATGGCACCTGGCACATGGAGAACACCTGGCAAACACTTACGTTATAAATGAATGGGCTCACTTGCAAACAGAGATAATTATCCCAATGAACAATATTTTCTTTACTTGTCTTCCAGTCTTCTAGAGCATTAGAAGAACACTAACAATGATTAGCAATATCTAATTTAATGATCAGTTTAGTGTAAAATGAATTAAAGCTCTTGGATAAACAACTTAACCTGACAATCTAATAACCAGTCTCACAAATTGCATTCTACTAACTAGTCCGCTAATGCCTCACCAGCATGGTACCTTCTCCAATATAGATGCTCAAGGTGGTCTAAAGGAGACTTTAGGCACAGAGGTTTGACAGATAAGGCTGAAATTCTGACTTGAAATTGCATTGCAAGTTTCCACTCTAGCTTGTCTATCTGTGAAATGGACACTAAAATGGCAGATGTTTGTGACGATACACTGAGACAAGTGATATGGAAATGGTTGATGCAGGACCTCACTGTTACAGTTACAGGGATAACTCGGGGTTTTAGACATGCTGTCCCATTGCCATCAGGCACAGACACATAAAATAAATGCATGACGACCAAATAATGGAATGTCACTAGCTCCAGTGTTTCTTCCTTCCAGCTTTGCTACTTTCGTGCCCTGCACTTCCCAGTGGTGGAGCCAGGAATGGAGAGAATCACCTGCTTTCATTCTCTGAGAAACTGTAGTAAGACTTTCCTTGCTGGGTCTGAGAGTCTGTTCCTAGGCAACATCTCAGGGATCTTGGAGGGGCATTTGGTAATGGCTCAAAAGGTAGAAAACAGCAGAGTTAGGATCCACTGGATATTTAGTACCCATCCCTCCTCCCTACTTATTTGAGAGCTAATTTAACCCATCTGGAGGAGTGACTTGGTGTGGTTCTACAAGTTTCTGTTAGTTGAGGTTTACCTGACGTGAGTTCAGAAAAAGGACTTTTATACTATCTGCATGAGGCTATTTATCTTTCCAAGGCTTTTGGATTTTCCACTATTTCTCAGGGCTGCACACCCCACCTGTCTCACCACAGGGCCCCTCTGTATGTGAAGAGAACTAAGAAAAGGGATAGGCAGCAGGAACTGAAGGAAAGGCTAGGTTGTTTACACCATAAGCTGGGAGATCCCAGATGGTGCCCCTCAAATGTCAGCCTTGTTCCTTTTGATGCCAGTGCAACATTTAGCATTGAGAGAGCTTCCAGATTGGATTTTCTAAGGCGGATTTCATTTCCTACCTTCCTGTCTTTCTTCCTGGCTCTAATGCCCATCAGCATCACACTACCACCACCATCAATAATATCAACACAAACATCATCATCTACACCAGCAGCACCAGCACCATCACCACCATCATCAATGCCACCAGCACACAAACATGGATGGCCACCGTCTTCATCAGTAACACCCACACTACCATATTCAGCTCCACCATCACTACCGCCATCATCACCAACACCACCATGGTCGCTGTCACCTCCCAAAGCCCCATCTGCACTTCTGCTACCACCACCACTATCCACCACTGTCATCTTAAATGTCACCACAGCATCACCACTGTCACCTCCGCCACTATTCTAATCATCTTTGCCATCAGCACCATCATCATCATCATCCTCATGAACCAAAACAAATCCCATTAGGCAAATGTGCCCCAATCTCTGTGCTCAGAGCTTTTATTTCATTCAATGCTTATCATAACTAGGAGGTAGAATCATGTACATTTGGAGTAAAGAAATACTAAAAAACCAGAGAAGGCCGAACAACCCTAAATATGCTGACTACAGAACTGAAGCTACCAGAGTGGGAGAGAAAGAGGGGGAGGAGACAGTAAAGTGGGAACAGGGCACAGTGAATGGCAGGCATGGACTCTAGTTTCTTTGGTGGTGAGAGTGGTATAGTAAAACGCCTGAAGGGGGAGATCCTCTACTTCTCAACACAAACAGTGACACACACAAAGGTCACAGAAAGGAGAGGGAGAGAGGGAAGAAAGACTTTGAAAACAGAAGGAGACTCTGGCTTATAGAAGAAGAAACTGAGGTGCCGAGAACCTGCCTAAGTCATACAAACAGGCAATGACAGAGAGGAGTAATCCCTGATCCGCCTGATCTCCAAATCTATACTTTGGACACTCCACTCTCCTTCAAGTTTCCCTAGCCCCTGAGCCCGTATGGACAGAGCACTCTTATGACTGAAAGTTCAAGGTTGAAGAAGACAGGGATTCTGTGGGACAAATACAAGATGGAGGGTCTAAAAGGTAAAGGCCACAGAGATGACACCCTCTGAGAAAGCATCTTAGGAGAAACTCCCATCCTGAGAGTTCCCAGCACATTCTGGGAAGCAATCAGCAAACACTCTTCCATTGCTGATACTGTATACTCAGCAAAGACTGTGAAGTAGCTGAAGTGCAGCTTCTGGAAACCTGGGTCCTGCTTCCAGTCCTCTGAGGCCAGTGACTCCCATTCCTGAGCCTCACCTCTTCCACTGGGAAAGTAGGGTGGACTAATCCCCCACCTCAGAGGTATGTGTGTGGTATATACAGGGTGCGCGTGTGGTGGTGGTGGTGGTGGGGGTGTTATATATATGGTGTGTGTGGTATATACATGATGTGTATGTGGTGGGGGGGCTTAAATGAAGGTTGGAAATTGCCCAGTCCAGGTCCCGCTCACAGCAGGCATTCATTCAATGCCACTCCTAGCCTCCCACCTTCTTACCCTGGGGACAAAGGTGACAGGAGCAGAGCCTTGTGCCCAGCCAGCCATCTGCCTTGCATGGGCTCTCAGAGGTGCTGCTCAGAAGCGAGGAGCCTCCTGGCCTGCTCTGGCCTAGTCATGCCCGCACCAGCAGCTCAATTTCTGTAGTGCTCGCCACACCAGGGGCAAGGGTGCAGCAAAGGCCAGTTTTCCTGCCTTATTCCTGGAAATCATCAATCTCTGCCCTTCGTCCTCCTCCCCTTTTCTACCACATTTTTTTCCTCCTGGATAATGAGGCCTCGGGAGACCAGTGGAGGTCTGAACCTCGTTATGGCTCTCTCGGTAGGCCGGCATCAATAAAGGCCGCAGACCAGGGAACTGGGTGGGGGCTGGGGCGGGCAGGCGGCGGGTGGGCGACTGGGGAGGGGGGACTCGCAGGCTTTCAAATCCTTGGATTTATTTCACAGTAAATTACAACTGAACTCTTTAGTGCCCGGGGCTCACAGAGCGAGGGTGGGAATTCACTCGGGAGGGAGAGAAAAGGCCTGAGTGGAGATTGGACCAGGGCGACCTCATCTGGGCGCCAGGCACCAGAGCCTCAGGTGCTGGAGTGAGGGGGCTCCGGCCCCTGGGCTGGAAGGTGAGCCCCTGCCCTCTGCGTATGTGGGAGCCAGGAGAGGGTCAAGGCTCCTGCTCCTTCCCGTGTGATCCCGGCCCAGTGTCCCTCTCTGGTCCTGTTTCTCCATCCAAGTACAAGGTACTTGTACTTGATGACCTCCGATGCCCTGAGTGTGTGGGGTCAGTGCTGCCCGGGCACTGGGTGAGAATCTATGTGGGGACATGGGGTTAGGGAAGGGGAAAGTCGTGCTGAGCCGAAGTCCACAAAAGAAGGGCTAGGGAGTGGGGCTGTCTCGTGGATGCCAGGGAGCGGCAGAGGCAGAGACATAGGGCAGGCGTGGCAGGAGAGAGGGTAGGAACAGATCAAGATGACGGAGGAATCGGGAGAGTGAAGGGAGAAACAGTGAGAGAGAGACAGGAGAAAGGGAATTAAGTTGGAGATGGAGAAGAGAGCAGTGGGAGAGAATGGGGCGGGGGGGGGGGCGGGAGCACAGGGAGCGGAGGCAGCGAGGTGCTAACGCCAGGAGCGCTGACTAAGCCCTCACCAGGGTGCCCTCCGTTCATACGAGAAACAGAACACCCAGGATCAGGTTCTTCCCAGCTATCGAGTGTGATCGGAAGCAGGTGGGCAGACAGCAGCTTTGGCAGCTCCCTGGGTCTACAGGGGCCTGGCCTCCCAGACAGAAAGGCTGGTGGGTAGAGATGGAGCTGAACCTTGAATGCACACCCCTGCCACCCTCTCAATATCTCTGGGGTCAGCAGCCAGGGCCCGGAGCTGGGACAGGATCCTGGCATCCAAGCTGCCCTGGCAGCAAAAGTGGGGGCTGGTATCCACACCGGGAATGATGAGTGACCCCCACAGTGACAGTGGCTGTGGCTGTAGGAAATGAGGGCCTATGTGGTCTTCTGATCAGGGACAAGCCGGCCTGGTGCGCGGGGCTGAGCACAGGGCTCTGCTCTGCCTTGGCCAACACTACCCTCCCAGCTCTCAGGGCTCATGAGCACAGACACCGAGACCCCACCCACAGAATGTCCTGAGGTTTAAATGCATTCCGGGGTGCCAGGTACTGGGCCTATAAACAATCGGTGCTTCATAAAAGAGAGGTATTCCTGGGTCCCTAACTGAATATTAACTGCTTTCCCAGATAAGTAAAGAAAGCCTAAGGATGGTGCCCAAGCTCCAGGCTACGGACATGGAAGGTGCCTGCCAGACAGACTCTGTACACTCTTCCTAGAGGACATGTGGTGCCTCCATTTCCCCATTTGTAAACTGGGACATCAGTCCTCTTATTTTTACGATGTCATCAGGATGCAGCAGGACAGTATACTCATAAAAGGTCCTTAGCACCAGATCTGAGAGATGGAAGGAATTAGAGTATTAAGGACTGGAGAAATGTTGGACATGTCCCCACAGCCGTGACGATGAGGTGAATTAACATGTGGAAAATCGAATGCAGAACCAGGGCCTGGGAAGTATTAAACAAGGTCACGTCCCTCCCCTTGGCCTCAGGTGGGTGGCCCCCGTCACTCACCTCCACCCGCGTGGGGTTCAGCCAGTGAGGGATGTCCCGGACGGTCACGTTCACTGGCAGGAGGATGGACTCGCTGTTGTGGTCCAGGCACGAGGTGGCACACTCCGACCCTGTGGGGAAGCAGAGCATGAGGTGGCAGCTCAGCCCCCCAACCCCCAACACCTACAGGCCGCCCCCCCCAGTGCAGGCCCTGCTACTCGCTGTTGGCCTGTCCACTTATGAGGCAGCAAGAGGGAGTGAGCTCCCAGCAGTATCTGCTGTCTGCTGTCCTGACTCAGTTCTCTCACCTCCAGTCCGACTGGACCCCCACCCCCACCTGTCACGCTTGTGTGCTCTGCATCCGATTTGGTCACGCTCCAGTTTTCCTTGCCGGAAAACTGCCCCAAGGCTCCCCACGTCCAAGACTATGTCCGGCACCCACTGCCGGGCACTCTTAGCCTCCCATGTCTGATCGATCTCCTCTCCCGCTCACACTGTGGTTGGCCCAACCATGTCGAACCCCTTTATTTTCCATCCAAGTCCCCCCTTCTACACTTCCACTCTTGTCCATCTGTCCCCTGTCCTCTGACCTCCACTTTCTACTGTCTCCATGTTGCCTGCTGCAAGGACCTCTGTTCCTGCTGGCAAGGGGCAGCTCTAGGCTGGCCCTGGTCCTGGTGCCTCCTTTCTGCACTTACAGGGCTACTCTGGGAGGGCAGGATGGGGCCGATTCAACCCTGGGCCCATAGGGTGCCCGATCGGCCGAGCTGCTCAGTGAACTCCCTTGAGCTCCGCACACCTTGGCTTCTCCTTGACTGGGGGAGACATGCTCACATGCTCCCCCTGTGCCTTCGATCTCCAACTAGTGTTTTTCTTTCTTTCTTTTTTTTTTTTTTTGAAGATTTATTTATTTATGCATACAGAATGGGGTACACGCCATGTGGATCATCTCCAGGGCTGGGGATCTAACTCACACTGAAGTGACTGTGGTTCGCTCGCTTGCAATGCTGAGCTTTAGCCTGCTGCGCCACCACGGAGGGCCTCCAACTAGTGCTTTCTGATGAGTCTTCATATCCCAGTGCAAACACGGTTTGCTCAGAGAAGACCTCTGTGCTTTCCCACACCACGGCATGTCATGGGACCCCACCCAATTGGTGCTGTGTTTGAGGCTCTACCAAGCTCTTCGCTGCTGGACGTGAACTCCTGGGAGGCCCGCCTTTGCCTGTGTTCCTGTTCTCTCTCCAGAGCCTCGCGTGCTTCGGCACTCCATAATTATTTGCGAAATGAACGAGACAATGATTGAAGGAGTGTATGGATGATTTGGTGAATGAATGAATAAACGGCACCTTCAAAAGGAGGAAGTGCAAATGTAATGAATGGGTGAGTGAGTACTGAATAAATGGATGAAGGAAAGAAGAAATGAATCTGCAACTGAGCCTGTGAAGGCATGGATGACTGGTGGCAACAGGGTTGGGACCAAGAAATACTCAGTCTGAGGACTTTGGGGAGAAGACATTTGGCTTACAGGCTGTAGTTGTCAAGTTATCTATCACTTGGCTCACTCCATCTCAGCTCTGGCCCCATCTACTCTGAAGTCTCCTGGAAATCAGGTGCACGCGTGATGTCCCCAGGGCTCTGTGAAGGTGCTCATTTGTGTGGGCAAAGAACTGACATGTCAGAATCTGACTCAGTGACTCTCAGGATGGTCCTTCCATGATGTGATACCAACACACCTTGGAACTTTAAATGGTACACGAGAGAGAGTTAGCTCCTTTAAGAAGACAATCACTCTCTATCAGTCGATGGAAAGCTGACTAAAAATCCACACACACAGACACTTCCACATATTCACACTGGTTAGCTATTCAGTAGCCTTTCTCCCGCTGCCTGCCCACTTCTCTGGGTCTAACAGATTCAGGAGGTCTGAAGAGGGAGCGGGGGCAAATGGCAGGCCCACGGCAGTGTGTGTACAACCTCTTCATTTTAAATATGGGACTCTGAGCCCAGAGGTGGGGGAGATGAGTCTCACGGGTGATGATCATGTTATTCCTTCTTTTGCAAACCCAGCCCGACAGGTGTCATCATCTCCCCTTCTCAGGGAAGGACACGGACTCTGTGTCAAATGCATGTCTGACTCCCACATCCAGTGAGGGGTTCAGGGTGCAGCCGCACAGAGTGAGGAAAAGGAAAGACAGCAGTGGGCAGGGGATGGGGACAGAGACAGAAGGACGGAGAAAGCAAAGGAACTGGAGAGTGCAAGAACACAAAGACCTTCAGTGAGGAGTGTGAGGGGAGTTCCCTGGAGCGCAGGGAAGCTCTGCGGTGTGTGTATCATGAGCTGGACTCCACACGAGTGTTTGTGAGACTTGGGGGAAACCAGGCGAGCCATACAATGCCTTCCACAGAAGATGCAGCCCCTGAGAAATTGACAAAGGCTATCTTATCCCCAAAGGGGGCGGGGGGTGGGTGGGAATGGAAGAAATCAGGTCAACACCGGAGGCCATGGCTACCCACTGCATCTGAATTCCTCTCCTGTCTCCATCGGCTCTGCACCCCTCCCCCACGGCAGCTTTGGCCTTCGGGACCAGGCTGCTGTGTTGTGATATATGAACCCTAATTGGCATCATTTCAAAGCGGTGATCTCATCAGGCCCTGCCTCTCCTTCAGGAGTCTGGAGGCTGGCAGCCCTAGTGTGGTCCACGGTGGAGGGCGGCTCACACCCCAGAAGACTCCCCAGGCTGCTTGGACAGGGGCCCAGAGCCAGGTGCTCTGGATGGCTCCAGAATGCTCCCTCCAGCTCCTAACCTAAACCCCTCCTCCCCCAACACACATACATACACACACACACAGCTCACTCTTTCCTCCCTTACTTACAAGGTCTTTGTAGGTGAGGTGTTCTCCCCAGGAAGCAACATGGGGGACATTGGGAGGTGGGAGAGCCAGGGAGCCCAGGAGCGGGGGTAGACAATGTCCTCTTCCTTCTCACTTCGGCCCTCTGTGTCTGCAATGCCCTCTCTCAGCTCTCCTTCACCTGCCGCCCACTCCCCCACCTACCCTGAGCTGCCACGTTCATCAGGGACTGTCTGCATGGCCATGGAGACATGGCACGGGGCAGGGAAAGAGTCAGGGGTCAGTGTCATCCAGATGTCTTTCCCTTTCTGCTGTGACTGTGAAAAAGCTCAGTGGGTAAAGGCCTGCTGCTCCCCCAGCCCTCTCTCCTCCTCCAGACCATTCAGAAGCTGAATAGCGACCCTGGCACTGTGGCTCACCCGCACACGGTTGGGACAGGTGAGGGAGATGTGTGGGTCGCTGCCCTGTGTAGGTGGTGTGCACGGGTGCATATGCATGTTATATGGCTGATGTGCACGTCAGGCATGACCTTACCATGTGATATCTGTGCTTGCCTCCATGTTGGGTAATTAAGCCCGTCTTGTGTTTACTTACACATGTGTGAATACATTTGAATATGCCGGGGGATGCAGACAAGCAGAGGGTCTGTTGTTTAGGCTGTTTACTAAAAACTCAGTGCCAGTCCTGGGCATGACTGAGTATTGGCTTGCCTCTGCTGACTGAGGTGGCAGTAGGGACCTGATCAGAAGCCATGTCCAGAACCACACCCATGCATCAAGGTGAAGGCCTTGGTCTGGGGACAGAGAAGCCACTGTTCCGCACTATTGGCTCAATCTTCTTGAATCTCTCTAGAGCAGGTCCTGCCAGCCCTCACCTCTCTGCAGCTCTGCTGGTGCGGGACCTTCAGAATGGTAGCTCTGGCCACTGCACGGTCAGAGAGAACCCACTGGCACTTGGTGTTTTGCATGCGCCCTGGGCTGGATGCAGGAGTCCCGAGTTCTGCACTAAGCTCAGGCGAGGAGCTTCTGCCCTCCAAGGCTGTATTTCCTCTTGCACAGGAGGTGGCCAGGCCCTGCAGGCCTCCACTCTCCCACTGCAGGCTCCTTTCCAGACACTGCTCCCAGGTAACTCTCATTTACTGGGTAAGGCTACGTTCGCTTCTATCGTCGCCAGTGAGTGTGTGCGGCGATAACCTTCTGCTCCAGACAATCCTGGTGATTGCCCCATAAATCACACCGACCATGAGAAAAGACATCCAATTCCCTGGGCTTTTCATCATGGTCAATTAGGGAATCAGCCCGAGAGGTCATCATCACTCCCCTCCAGCGAGGTCAGATTCCACGCACCCTAGTTCCCAGGAGTCCTGGGGCCCCGCGCCGGCTGCATCGGTACAGAGGCTGGTCTCACCAGGAAGCCCCACGCTGTCTCCCCTCACTGTAGCACTTTGTGAACTGGCCTGTCAGCACACAGACTGCATTTTGAAAATGCTGCTTATCTTCATTTTGGAGGTAGCTGAGATGCCATAGACAGAACCCTTTGGGTGTAAGGTCTTAGGATCTGGGGCAGGTTCTGCTCCTCCTGCAATTTTCTCATTGTTAGAGGTTATTGAGGGACTAGTGAATACTGCCTTTAAATGCAAGACATAACCCACAGTAGGTGTGCAAGAACGGTGAATATCTTTGTAGGAATTTTAAAGTGAGTAACAAACGGACCGCTGCTCTTCCCCTAACAGGTGCTGTGCTTTCTGATCTCCTTCCTTTGGTCACACCATTGCTTCTGTCCTGAAGAACTTTGCAAAAAAACTTTTTGCGGGCCCTCCCTGGTTGCGCAGTGGGTTAAAGCTCAGCACTAAGAAACTGCAGCCACTTCAGCATGCTCCCCACCCGGGAGCTGACCCACATGGCCCGGCAGAACTCTCCTGTCTTGCCCGCTGCTCCCTTCTGCAGGGTGTACTTCGTCAGTCTGCTTGTTCTGCTCCCCACTCTGGCTCTGGTGAGTCCTCTCACTGCCCCTGCACCTCTGGCCTGTACCCCAGTTCTATATGCATAAATAAATCAATCTTTTAAAAAAAGCTTTATTATGCAAATCCCTATCCTGTTCTCTGGGATCTCCTGAGTCTCTTGAGGCACGGCTCTTCTCCTCTACCTCTGCACTGTGGTGTGACCGTGCACAAAGGCACCCACCCACCAAGATTCTGTTCAACATCCCAGCCCTTCCCTCTCTTTCTGGAAGGACAAGGCCAGCTCCCTCGAGCCTCCAGGAGACGTACCCCATTACCAGCCCGCCCTCCCCCTCCTGCTGCACCCTCAAGCCCCTCATACCTATGGCATAGCCTTCGGGGCACTGCAGCTTGAGGTTGCTGTTGAGCTGGTCCGGGGCGGAGCACTGGCCTTGCATCTCCTGGCAGAGGTGGAAGGAGCCGCTCCAGGTGCCATCTTTCCGGCAGTGGATGATGTTGCTCCCGCGTCCCTGGACACCACAGAAAGATATTCAGGACACCGCAGACCCCAGGCCCCAACAGGATAAGCCTCTTGGAATAAAATGGGGTCATTTCTTAACTCCCAGAACTCTGAAAGTGCCCCAAAGGTTTCCTAATGATGATGCAGACTCAATCCCTTTGAACTGGCGGCACTGATAGCATCTCCATTTTACAGACGGGGAAGGGAGAAGAGATTTGTACAGAGTTTTCCAGAGAGCTGGTCTCCAGGCTGCTCACACCTGAGCTTAGTGGTTTTTCAGAGAAGGCAATTGGAAGCAAATATCTTGTTTTATTTTAACTGAGAAGGTAGTTGCTCAAATGCACCCCAACTTGTAGAGTGGGGGAGAGCATGGGTCGGGAGCTGACTGTGAGGTGGCAGGTCTGCGACAGAACCTGTCTCTTCTCAGCCACTGAGGAAGCGCACCATGTCGGGGCTCTACTGTCTGTAACTAAGGGGCCCTGAACCCCTGAGTAGCTTCTCTTCCAGGGCACTTCTCTGTCTCCTACGCCTCCTTTCCTTTCTTTTGTTCCATCCCCCCCCACACACACACACCCCATCCCATCCCATCCCACCATATCCCAGCAACAATGATGCAGATGGTGATGTGGGGTAGGTCTACTTTCATTTTCTTGTGAAAAGTTAGAAACAAAAATTATTAATACATTTCTGTAAAATTTTTGACTATAAATAACATTGACTTATAATAATATCTTGGTTTTAGGAGTACAACATGATTATAGACCTGTCGGTACTACATGATGATCTCCATATCAGGCTATTTTCCATCTGTCACCAGACAATTCACCATGTTCGCCCAATTTACCTACCCCTGCCTCCTTTGTCTCTGCCCCCCCACCCCCACCCCCACTGTGGTTAGAATCTAAGGATTTGTTTTAGCTTCATTTGTTCATCCCTGAGGCATGCGCAGTTCTCATTCAGTTGCAAGAGGCAGACAAGAGTAGACAAGGGAGTGTGCAGATCTGATCTCTGCTTTGATGGGATCTAGCTTTGTAGAAGCCTCAGCACTATTCCTGAAACCAAGGGCCATTTCTCAGTGCTTATTCTATGCCCAACTCTGTGGGGTCCAAAATGAAAATGAGCCAGTCCCTGCCCCGGCAAGCCTGAGGAGGGTGGGTGGGATGGTCAGTCAGGTGAACCTCTGGTCATCTCGCCGTGTCTGTGCTGTGTTGTAAGGGGCCATTGGAAAGGTTTCTTAGAGGATGTGATAAGGGCAAAAGCATTTTCAAGGATGCATACAATCGCTGGCAAAACAGTGATGGAAGCGGCATCTAGGAAGACGAAGTGTGGGCTACCATAGGAGGTAGAGTGAGCAGCTGAAGTGCTGATGGTCAGTCCTATGACCCAGGAAGGAAGCAGGGGAGCATGAGCTGGGAAGGTAGATAAGGACTGGGCCCTCAAGGTCAGCTTACGAGTTGGGGCTCAATCTTTGGAAATGGCAACCTTTGGGTGCTTTCTATACAGGAGACCATCTCTCTGAGAACAAGCAGTATATTCTCCCTCTCTCACGCATGTAATAAGAAGAGAAACTCCACATGCAGCCAGAGTGGGGCCTGGCTCCACGTGCTCAAACCCTCTGGAATGGCCACATGGCCTTTAGCTTCCATTCAAATCCTGAGCCTGGCCTCCAGAACCTTCACAGCCTTCAATCTGCTTAACCCTGCAGTGCATTGCTCTCCAAGCAGCACCACCGATCTTGAATATCAGTTTAAATTGCCTCCACTGTCAAGTGTACCTGTGTTGCTGCCATACTTCTGGCCCTGGCTCCAGGCTTCCTCCCCGACTGGGCCTAGCAGGCATGTACCCTCCTATTCAGTGCCATTAGACACTGCAGAGTCCTTGCTGTAGGGTCCCTGACACATATCACTTCTTGATTTATCATCTACTCCCCACTACATGTTGAGTTTCCTGAGACTCAGACACCACCTTACTCCTTCCTCCCACCTCAGGGTCCTCCACAAAGCTGAACAGCTTCTGGCCACTCGGTTGGTCAATTTATTCATCACTCAGTACTTATTTATGTTCAAGAACTGTTTGACAAAAGATGGCAAGAATAGGTGCAGTGCTATGGGGAGAATTTGTTTAACAAACAGGAAAATAAATGAATGGATTGTTGAGGAAATAAATAAGCAAATTAGTAAACGAAGAGTGAATGAGGAAGTAAATGGGTGTGTGTGTGTGAATCCACTCTTTGAAAGGGCTGCTGTGAGCAAAAGCACTTCTGCCTGAGAAAACAACTGCAAGGAGACAGGATTCAGGAGAGAAAGGGGAGCCCCTCTCTGGGCCTCTCCTAGGTCAGCACAAAGAGGGTGTGATCACAGTGGACGCCCCTGTGGTCATGGAGAATGGTGGCCCATGCCGAGCACACAGCTGCAGGATGACATCCAGAGGCACTTCCAGAGGTGGTGTGTAAGCTCAAGGAAATTCAGGGACAGTTTCAGATGGCTGCAGACTCTCCCTCCCGGAGCCCCAAGCCCCATGATTCGACTGGGCCCTCAGAGGAGTAGGAAATTGACCCCAATTTCCTGGAGCCTTGGCCTGGCCTATGATGCATTTGGCCTGCAGCCCCTGAAGGGTTGCCGACCTCAGCACTACGTGGGCCAGAGCTGGCTGGGGAGCTCAGTCTGTAACAGGGAATGTATTCGAACTTGCTGGAAGCTGCTCAGGGAATTTCAAAGTTGGGAGGCTCTACCACAGAAGGTGGCAGGATGAAGGCATAGCTTTTTCTGCTTCCACTCTCTCTCTCCTTCATAGGTCATCTGGCACCTTTCTGTTACTGACGAAATCTGTTTTACAAAACATGGCTCCTCACAGTAATGCAGACATGTAAGTTGACTGACAAAAACAAAACTGAATTAAACAAAAAGCAAGATGGCAGCCCTCTGTTAAGATATCTTAGGCTTCCAAACAAGACGTGATCATGGGGGGCGTGCCAGGGCTTCCCCAGTGAGGCCCAGAGGACCTACGGTGTCCTCTCCTGTGGCAGACAGACCTCTCGTGCTTCTCACTGGTTCCTGCTGTACCCTCTGCAGAGCGGACTTTCTGGGCCCTCTCCAGGTTTCCAGGTCCTTCTTAGGACTAGATGTTGATGTGCTCAATGCCGAGCCTCAGAACAGAGCCTCGTGGTGGTGTCCAGCTTGCCAACAGAACACCTGATGTTGACAGTCCAAACTGGGGTGACCAGAGAACAATTTCTCTGGGTGTGGCAGGGAACCCACTGTATGTTTGGGCCCAGGTATGCAATTCTGCAGACTTAGGTAAAAGCTCTCACAAGAGGACTCATACTCCTTTGGGAAAGTGTTTTGTCTCTCAGTGCTTGGGCAGCCATCTTAAAAAGCATGTGTGCTTTCTCGAACTCTCCTTAGGTACACAGATCACTAAAGCAATGAAGGCTCATCATCCCATAATAATGTGGTTGTTAAATGCATATTATGTGCCAGACACTTTATATACATTTAGAAATCCCTTTAACAATGGAGAGGAAGCCCAGTCATGTACCTTCTACCATCACAGAAACGGAGGCTCAGCTAGGAATAGAAAAAGCAAGTTTTTAGGTGATGCTAGTGTGCTGATTAAGTGTGTGGAATTGAGCCAAACTGCTCAGGTTCAAATCCCAGCTCTACAACCTCCTCACCAAATGGACTTTGGGATGCTCTTGAATTTCTTTCTGCCAATTCCCTCAGCTGTTATTGGACATTGAGCCCACTGCCCGAGAATTATCATAACTGAGTTCTTCCATGGGAAACATTTAGTGTCAGTTAAGACTTTTAACTGCTCTGATGAACTTTAGGGGAACTTCAGAATCAACGGGTTAAAGTGCAGCACTGTAAGCTGGCCATAGCCCCTTTAGTGAAAGTTCAATTCCCAGCCCGGGAGGTGACCCACAGGGCATAGCAGACCTCTCCTGCCCTGCCTGCTGCTCCCTTCAGCAGTGTACTTAGTCAGTCTGCCTGTTCTGCTCCCCACTCAGTCTCTGGTGAATCCTTTCACTGCCCTGCACCCCAGTTCTGTATGCATAAATAAATCTTTTAGAAAGGATTAAAAAATAAACAATGGTGCTGTTTAAGCAATGCTGTTGCTAATTTGCTGTGTGACTTGGTGTGAGTCCCTTGCCCTCTCTGTACTCCAGTGGTCCCAGATACAAAATAAACAGGTTGTAGTGAGAGATTTCTGAGGTCCTTCCCAGTTCTAACATCGCAAGGATGCATAATGCTTCTGCCTTTCTCTAGGAAGCCCTGGTGCTTGGGCAAACACTTGACTACTTTGAAACTAGAAGAGAAGTTGCTTGCAGTGTCCCTCCCCTCCTCCCCCCAGGAGAGTATGCCATGTCCACAGCAGGAGGCCTGAAGGGGAGCGGGCTCTAGCCCAGAGGCAGACAGGTTCTGTGGCTATTCTCTGTGAACCCTGCAATCCACTAGGGTCTTATTGATTCCACCCCCAGCCTCCTTCTCTTGTTCCTGCTGTTTGTTCAGATCTATGTAATCACATCGCTTCTCCAAAAAGTGGCTCCAGCCTCTTGCTCGCCTGCTGCAGCCACTGTACGTGTCTCCTGTGGACCTGCCCACTCCCCAGGCCACCCCCATGGTGCTTCTCAGGATGGGTTGTGCTCCAGGGGTCACTGCAGGCAGCTTAGGGGCATCTGAACTGGTTTAACTGCTGAGACCATTAGAGATGGAGTCCCTGCCCTTTGCCACCAGCTGCCCCAGAAATTCCTAGACGTGGGAAGGGCAGAGCTGGGAAGTCACTCACCACTGCCTACAACTCAACACCATGGGCGAGAACTAAGCCTCCCTGTAAAATGGGCATACTGTTTTCTTTTTCAAAGATGTATGGCGAGCTGTCAAAATGAGGGAAGGTTAAGGGCCCATCTTGGCATCCAGGAAATTCTTGAAAAGAAAAAAGCTGTTTTTTAAGTGGCTGTCTTGGCGTGCAGGATGATATCATGACAATTGTGAGAGGTAAGCTGCCCGTCCTGGAAATCACTATGCCAGTGTGGCTGCTCACATGTAAAACTGAACTACTTGGGCCCTCCCTGGTGGCGCAGCGGGTTAAAGCACAGCACTGAGAATCTGAAGCCACTTCCGCATGAGTTCGATTCCCGCCTGCCGCCTGCCCCGGAGGAGACCACATGGCGAGCCAGACATCTCCTGACCCGCCCGCTGCTTCCCTCAGCAGTGTACTTCGTCAATCTGCCTGTTCTGCTCCCCACTCTGTCTCTGGTGAAGCCTCTCACCGTCCCTGAGCCTCTGGCCTGTACCCCAGTTCTGTATGAATAAATAAATAAATCTTAAAAAAAAAAAAAAAACTGAACTACTTGGGATTGAATAAAATATAATGCCTAGGTGCTCAGTCACTCTAGCCACACTTCAAGGGCTCCATCGCCTCACATGGCTGGTGACCACTACATTGCACAGCACAGAGAGGGAATATTTTCCTCTCAGCAGGAAGTGCAACTAGCTAGTCTCGAGAGCTAGATAGTCTATAGATGTATTAGACACCTGTAAATGTGTTTTCCTGTGATTATACTGGTTTCCCCATTCCACACCCCAGCCTTATCATGCCGGGTGGCCCCATCTCTGATTTACTGGGGCTAGCTGCCAGCAGAGGGCTAACTTTCTAGCCACTGCCCTTGTTTCCAGGTTCTACAGGACCCCAAAAGGACTGTCAGGGAGTCTTCCCACTAGACATGACCTTGAGAGTAAACCAGCCCAGGCCCTCCCTGGTGGCGCAATGGGCTAGGATGCAGCACTGCAAGCTGACCACAGCTGCTCAAGTGCCAGTTCGATCCCTCACCCTGGAGGTGACCCACAGGGTGCAGCAGACCTGTCCTGACCCGCCCGCTGCTCCCCTCAGCAGTGTACTTTGCCAATCTGCCTGTTCTGCTCCCCACTCTGTCTCTGGTGAAGCCTCTCACCGCCCCTGCACCTCTGGCCTGTACCCTGGTTCTGTAAGCACAAATAAACGAATCTTTAAAAAACAAAAACAAAAAGTAAACCAGTGCCTGTGTGCCTTCCGTGTGGGGGCCGCCGTGTGTGATGGCACAGGCTGTGTGCAAGCTCGGAGGGCACTTACACATATTCCACTTTCCCCGCCACTTTTCATTGTCACGAGTAAGCTACAATTAATTCACACTGCCCACCCCCCCTCATTTTATACCTGAGGAAACAGAAGCGGAAAGAGTTAAGTATCGGCCCAAGCGCTTCAGCTAGTAAGGGGTGGAGCATAGATTGCAACTCAGAGTTCAGGATCCAGCCTTGTGCTGGCTCTCAACGGATGAATGAAAGGGATGTTTTATTTGCTAATCTGCTTTTAGTGTCAGTGAAAGGGAGTATGTGAATCTCCTCTCCAACAGCCCCTGTCCTCTCCTGCCAGGATGTGAACTTGTTTGGAAGGAGACGCTTTCCACTCCGCACACACTGTTTGACTCAAGGCACTCTGGGCCGTACGTTTCTGCCGTGTTTCCAGGCAGCCAGAGGGGATCTGAGGTGAATACTAGATTTGGCTCTCAGGCCCCTGGTCTGAGGGTAGAGGAAATTCATTTTCAGTACAAACTAGAAACGTCAATTGTATTAGGAGGCCATTTGGCACGCGTCTCCTCGTCTTTTGAGCTGACAAGCAATACCCTGCTCCTTCGCGGCTAGCCTCTCCACTAGTTGCCAACAGAGCTGCTTGAGTCGTCTGATAAATTTACATTTTCCTCTCCTTTAAATACAAACTGCCCATGAAAGGTACTTGGCAGGCCACAGGCAGACTGGGTTTCAGGTCGATAACATGACCACAGCCAGAATATTATTTGGCTCAGAAGTTTTGGGTAACCGTTAGCTACAGTTTTCTGCAAGGGAATGAGAACGGAGCTGATGATCTGTATAAGGCCATGGTAATCTCTAGCTTGGTGTGTTCCTGCACTGGCTCCTGCTTCCCTGGCAGCTGAGGGTGGGAATGGCTTGGGGATATGAACATCCAAATGTGTGTACTGGCAAGGATCTTCACGCAGCGCCTATTGGAGCCACTGTGCCCACCTTTAGGGTTCTGATTCGGACTCAGCTGACACCAGCTGGGTCACTTTGGGTGGCTGAATGACCTCTCTGAGTCTTGGTTTTCTCATCTGGAGAATGAGGGGTTGGCAGGATCAACCCTTCCCTGAGGTCTTTTTCATAACCTGGCATTTCCTGAGCACCTACTAGGTGTCTAGAACTGTCCCAGTGCTGAAAACAGGGAAGATTAAAGGCTCCCATGGCTTAGCAGGGAGTGGAAATGAAGTACACTACAGTGTGGCCAATGCCATAAGGGTGTGCCAAGAAGTAACACTGACCCCATAGTGAAAGGAGCATCAGGAAAGAGTTCCCGGAGGAAGAGGGCCTGGGCTGGCCACTGAAGGATGAGTGGGAATAAGGCCACTGGGAAAGGTGAGGGGAGCTGTTAAGGTAGGTAGAGAGCAGAGGTTAGAGGGGCAAGCGATCTTACTGTGATGGGAGAGGGCTGCAATGTGACCCTGTGGAATCTCACCCTAAGGGAATGGGTGTCACTGTTTCACCAACAGTTTGACACAGGAGAATTGTCACGATCAGATTTATGCTTGAAGCAGATCACTGTGCCTGAGACGTGGGTATTACAGAAGGAAGCAAAGAAGCAAAAGCAGGAAGATCTGGAGGCTGCAGGGTGGCCCAAGAAAGAGCTGTCCGGTGGATCAAGTTAGGGTGGTGGCCTGGGGTCACAAGAGATGTCTTGGAGGGAGATTGGGTAGGACCTGATGGTTGTCTGGATGTGGGAAGCAGCAGTGGGAGGAGTTGCTGATGGGCCCTTGGTAGTACCTGGCACCTGGCAGTCAAGGGTAAAAACTAATGAGGCCTGTCTGTAGGTAAAACCTTCCTTGGGGCAAGCTGGTTGAGCTCTACCTCCCCTGGTAAAGACCTCTGCACCCCAGAAAGCACGGAGCTTGGGGAACCAATTCTACATGGCTGCTTTGGTCAAGATGGAGCTCTTTGATGGCTTAGAGCTTCCTGGAGCAGCTGGTGTCTATATTTTCCCTTCCCACTCTTGAGCCTCTGCTACCTGAGTGGGGTACTGGGGTATACCCGGTAAGGCAAATTCATACTCAGAACTCCCTCACCAGAGACAGGCAGAGTGGTGAAATTTCAGTCACATATAGAGTGAGAGAAACTCAAAGCCTGCCATCTCCTTCCATTCTCCTTTCTTCCATGGTATTTTCAAAATCACAGGTCAAGTCTAAAGGTGGTTTCCCTGCAGGCGTGGGGAGCCTGTGGGGGGTCTAAAGATCATGGGAGTCTTGGGATTTCAGATCGTTTCAGCTCTAGCATGGATGGTGATGGAGGGAGAGAGTTGGCAGAATAGCCACGCACACTCCTCTTGGAGTAACTCAACTTGGATCAGGTTCCACACTGGGAATTCCATACATGATTTCCTTTGGAAGGCTTCCAATACTAACTTTTGCAAAACTAAGAATCTCTGATCAGATAAAAGGCAGTAATATGGGGTTGGGGGATGAGGCTCAAAGTTCACAAAGAAAGGCAGACCTCAGTTTCTTAGCTTCTACACTGGTGGCATTGCCGTCACACAAGGCTGGCCTCTGTGGTCTCCCAGGGAAGTGGTTCTCAAAGTACAGGCTGGTGTTTGGGAGGCAGAGAGGCCCAGGCATTGCGCTCATTTGCGGAGCCTTACCTGGGCGGCATCGCCATCTTCACACTTGATCCTGCACTCGCTGTTGAACTGGAAGCCATGAGTGCACTGGTACAGCCCATGGAATTTCGGGGGAGGTGGGTCGCAAGTCACAGGAACACAAGCCCCCTCCTGCCAGCTGCCATCCTGGGTACACTGAGTCTTGAAGGCCCGTCTTCAAGGAAGAAATAAAAGCAGACTTCAAGGACCGGATGGCTAGACCCAGGTTCTACCAAAACACCGCAGCTCCTCTCCAGCCAGCTGGCCTCTTGTTACCCTTTCCCACTCTTGATTGAGTTGACCTGTCTTACTGCTTGATTTATTCCTACATGTTTGATTGGGAGGGGGCACAGTATGGGTAAAAGGAAAATTCATTCATAGAACGCCTTCAGCAGCAACAGTAGCAAGTCAAAGCTCCAAACTGTCGTGCAGTGACTCGTGGGCTGGAACAAAAGTCAAACCCTGCATGTCCCTTGCCCCCGCCCTTCCTTCCAGTGTGTTCTGATGGATGCTGGCCCAATGCTGACGTGAACACCCAGCACTGAACAGTTACTATGTGCGCTCTGGTAGCACTTCGCATACACAACCTCCTTTATTCTTCACAAAAGTCCTATCTGGTTAACTATTATTCTCATCCCCATCTTACTGCTGAAAAAGAGGCCCAGAGACGTGATGTCACCTACCTGCGGTCACACAGCCAGTAGGCAGTTACTAACCATGTCCTTCCAGATTCCCACGAACAGAATGGCATCAACAGTAAGTATTGCTTCCAGCAAAGAAACGAGTGTGCTTCCCGCTAACCTTCGGCCAGCCCCAGCTCGCCTCCCCTGCCCCCAGCACCTGTGAGTTGGCAGCCCCACTTACTTCTTTGACTTGCGAGAGGAGCCGGGCACATGGTATCCGGGTTTGCACTTGTACTTGCAGAAAGAGCCCACCTTGTGCTTGTTCTCTCGGCACCGGGCAGTCTGGAGGTCTGCGTTGGGTACCGGGGGCGGAGCGAGACACATGAGCTCACACAGAGCCTCCGGGAAGGACCACAGCCCATCCTCCAAGCAGGTCAGGAGGCTGTTGTTGCCTGGAGGACACAGGCAGGCAGGATTAGCGAAGGGCAGCGGGGTCTCCGAGAGCTCAGTTCATTCACCACCTTGGACTTGAGTCAAGTTCAAAACCAGACCACCTTCCTCTTGCAAGCCCAGACCCTTCCAGTACAACCGGGAAGTCTCCAAGGAGGGAGCGGGCTACAGTGGAGGAGGAGCCAGCAATTTGGGACACAATTAACCCCCATCTGAGGTGAACTAGAATTCAGGACTGAGAGTTCCTCATTCAGAAACTCTTGTACTGCACAGAAAAAAGATCTGACTCTCCACCCACCCCCTCCATGTGTGCCAGGCAGGCATCTGGGCCCAGAGACTCAGGCATCTGACTTCAAAGACTGACAGCAGAAGCTCCCACCAGAATCGACCGCACGGTCTGAAAACTGCTGGGTGACCTCAGCCCACCACTCCCCTCCGGGCCCTGCGCCCCTGTATTTGCCCCAGCCGTACCTCCCCCCTCCCCCCTCCCGTGGCTGGAAGTGACAGCATCGTGGTTTCTGGAGGTCTGATGGGCTTTCCAGACCCTGCACTCAGTGACGGGCTGCCAAGGCAGCTGAGAGCAGCATTCCCCGTCACCAAGCCAGCACTGACAAATGTGCTGATGGCCATCGGGAAGCTGGCCCGACGGGACGTTACAAATAAAAGCAAAGCACGGGGAGTTCAGCTTTTCACTGCCAGGTCATATATTACCGACCCACGGCCTGCCCAAAACCTCCCCAGGACAATTAAAGCAGGACCTAAAACATGGGTTTCTCGACCAAACTCTCTTCTTGCCGGTTATTACTGAATGGTGTTGACAAGCAGGGCTGGAAGCACATCGGAGGCTCCGGGATGGGAAGATGGGAAGGGTGGAAGGGTGGAGTGAGGGGGCTGAAACCAACATTTTCTGAGCAGCGACTGACTGACTAGACCCTGAGTGCTTGTGAAATGCCATCTATTCTCACAACAGTGCCCCAGGGGACTGTTCCGTGGAATTAGTGACTCAGAGAAGGAAGTGACTTGACCAAGTTCTCACAGTTCAAAAAGGCCAGAACTGAGGTTTGAAACCAATTTGTCTAGCTCCACAGCTGGTCACTGTCTTCCTTAATGGGAAGCTGAGTCGGCAGCTGTGTTCCAAGGGCATTCAAAGGGAGAGACCCACCCAACGGACTGTCTCACAGGGAGCGGAGAAGGCGAAACACAAAATGTTGATTTAGGGTCTAGAAAAGTGCTGTCAACCCCTTTTTTTTCTCCTTCACTTTCTCCCTCCTTTTCTTTGTATTTCCTCTCTCTCCACCTTCCTCTTAATTTTTGCCAACATTAGCAGATGGCAAGGAGTATTGAGGAGCATTATAGACTCTTCCAAATGTTGGGACCAAGCGGTGGAAAACACTAACAGCCCTGCCCTCTTAGAGTTTACATTCCAGTATGCTGGTGGGTCAGGACGGAGCACAACGAATTACATTTCAAATAACTACTTTGTGTAATACTTGGACGCGGTGAGAGCTCTGAAGAGAAATAAAGCAGAAAGAGGAAGAAACAGGAGAAAAACACTTCAGTTTTGTGTGGGTGCCTCTGCTCGTCCTAGCTCATTCATTCACTTCTACTTTCTTCCTTTGCCAGCGGGATTCATCTAGTAAATGCAAGATAATATGTTGTCTGTAAACTTCACATTGATAAAGTGAGATGCTGCACACTAGAGTCATTTAGAAATCAAGTAAAAATATCCAGAGTCGCAGAGAAGGATTCATTTGGCTTCCGAAGGAAGCAGAGAAGGCTTCAGAACACAGAGATTACAAACTGCTTTTGACATGGCTTTTGTGACGGGGCCAGTGTTTTGGAGGTGTCCATACATACCCAAAGCATCTTGGGGAGGGGAGTTACAAAACATAAGGGAAGCAAACTTTTTCTAAAGTCCCCAAGAAGGGAGCAATATCTGTGGGAAAAGTGTTGGGACCCTAAAAAAGCACATGGCATTAGTTATGCAAGGCATAAACCATGGCATGAAAGCCATATTTCTTGTGAGGTGAAATAACATAGAAATTCCAGAATGTTACTGGAGAAAGACAATGCACACCTGAAACGTAAATTCTAGAAGAGGGTAGGTGGGAGTTAACAGTGTGCCATAGTCAAAGAGAGAATCCTAAGGAAGGAGGAACGGGCAGTTCAGGACCATGGACATTACCCCCTGCCCAACAAAATGGGGCCGATACAGAAGCCTATCCGAGCTGGGTAGAATCAGTACTCTTAGGAGCAAGATGTGGCCACTACCTGCATCCACCATGCAGCTTTAAAGTCAGTCTGGGGTGCATGTTCTGCTCATAGGTAAGACTCCGAGGCATACATGCCTCTGCACGATGCACTCGGTCAGCATAGGGGTTTCCAGAGTTAACTCTGAGGATGTCTCTTCTTGAGTCCCAACCTTCCCCCAAGGGACCTCTGGTTACCATGGCAACAAACTGGCTTTAAAACAGATCCCTGGTACTTCTATGCCTCATGCCTCCTGTTCCCCTCACCCTACCTGTGTTCCCTGGGGAAGCCTGGGTCAGGATGGGAGGTGAAGGCATGTTTTGGTAAGAAGTAAGAGTGTCAGAAACTGGGTTCCCCCAAAGTGGGTGACCCTGTGCCCCCATCACTTTGGCCTTTAAAGTCTAGACAATAAATCTTGCTCAGCTTGTCTATAAATGTGGGCTAGGAAATTTCAAAGAAGTCTAACGAATGTTAAAAAGCTGGTAAACATGTTGCCAAAAGAGATGTGTCTATTTTTACTATTTTATTGAAGAGACTACCCGGAAGGCCAAATCTTGCTGGGAGTGTCTTTATGATTTGAAATTAACCTAGAACAGAATACAAACAAGGAAACGCCTGGAGACCTAAGGGGCTTTTCCTCGTCCCTCCTACATGTGCTGACACTATCTGCGTCCTAAGGCCAGAGGCTGCAGCCTGTTCATTCTCTGATTCAGGCATCCAGCTTAGTGCCAAGCTCATAATAAGCCCTTGGAAACACTGGTTGCTACTTGTAGTCTCGTGAATCTCCCGGTGGCCCTGAACATGTCACATTACTTACTTGCTGGCCTTAAACTATACCCAGCTCTAACAATGTAGGATATGAAAGGATATTTTTAGAAAACAAAGAATGCAGCTGGCTGGACAGGCAAAAAGACTAGCAGGCGCTTAGGAGGCTGCATTAGCCAAAGGCTAGTACCGATGGACACGGGTAGAGATCAGTGTCACTGCTTTGGGGAAGAAAATGGCCTTAGCAAAAGCTGCAGAGGAAAGCAAAAGGAAGCAGGACGAGGAGCAGAAATAAAGAAGAGGCCACGATATAAGGCTCTGGGCCACGTGGGGCAAGAGGAAATGAGCTCAGAAATGATTCAGACTGGCTGCTATCCCAAGATGAGCCACCACTGGGGTGCAGAAGATCAGAGGAAGAAACTGAGGCAGAAGATATGGAGGCATCATGGGAAGTATGCAATCCTAAGTCGCTTTTCATTCTAAACATACATTCTAGGCTCCTGGGGTCCGTGCAGTGAGAGAGCAAACCTGAGCTGGACCTGGCAGCTCCAGGAAGTGTCAGTTGCTCAGTGACACTGAGCTCTCTCTGCCCCAGCCTGGGTGAATCAGATTACATTTTGATTATTTGTTCAATTTTTTTCTGTCTGCAGGGAATTACAACAACAATTGTCCATCATTGAGTCCACAAGATAGGCCTACAAAGACTTGCTAGGGCCATCTTCTTCTTTCCTGTCACCAACCCCCTTGTGCAGTGAGAAACTGAGGTCCTGGGGCCTGCCTCAGTCCTTGGGGCTTTCCTGAACCCACTGCAGAGTCATGCCCAAGAGCAGGACCAAAGAGGAGTCGCTGTCGAGAGGAAATCTCATGGAATCAGGGCCAGGGGAGCATCCCCACTCAAGACCTAGTCAGGGAATCAGGCTTCATTATCTGCAACCCCTCCCCTCTCTTCAGGCTTCTTTACCACGGGGCCACATTTCTAGCAAATGTTAGACATGAAGGAAGGAGGATGGTCGTCTCCAGGGAGGTCACACATGTAAAACTCGTGGACAATTGGTGGCAGGCTCTTCCTAGGAAGAGGAAGAAAGGAACTGGAGGTGGTGGCAAGCTGCCAAGCAGGAGAGGCAGTGAGCACCGCGCACAGTCAGACATCAGGCCATGTCTCCATGCTGGTGGGAACTGTGTGCCCGGCTGGGGCACCATTCCTGGGGGTCCCACTGCACAATGAAATCATTGGCCCTAATGACCTCCAGGTTTCTTCCAGTGCTGATGTTAAATGTTTGGTGGGAATTCTGGGCTAAGGGATAAGGTTCAGAAAAGGCCAACGGGTTCAGAGGCAACAGGTGAGAAGCCTGAAGTTAGAAGAGGCCTGATTCTCAAAGCCTGACCAGAGAATCTGGAAGGGTTATTTAGGAGATGAAATCGGTGCTCACTCTCTGCTTTGCAGGGTTTACCCCTGAGAGTGGCCTTTCCTAAGCACCTGGGGAAGCCCCTTCTCCACGGTGACACTTAAGTCTCCAGGCCTGAGTCTGCCTTCAGCACCCAGTCCTCTTTGACCTACTGACACCACCCCCCAACCATCTATCTCACAAACTCTCCAGGGAGAAGATGAGGAATGTTACCTCCTCGGGCTCAGTATGAGAATTCCTCTTAACAGGTGATCTGTTAGTGGGGAAGGTATCTCAAGGAAGCCCTTTGGATAAAGCTGAAGTCTCTTGGGCCTGGCTATCTGCTTCTAAGAAAGAGGGGTGGCTCTTGTCCCAAGAGAGATCAGAGAAGTTGGAATTCCCAGAGGTTGGGAGTTGCAGCAGGACTCTGAGGGAGAGGGCAGAGGTGAGGGCAGAGATTAATAGTGACACATCCCTGTAGGGTGTGGTCAGTGTCCAGCTCCTTCCAGTTCATGTTTCTATCTGCAATAAAGTCTAAAAAGTGCTCAGTGGCCATGGGAGCTTATAGAAATAGTGAGGGGCCTCCCTTGGGGTGAAAGATGTTGACGTGCAGCACTGTGAAGCTGTCTGCAGCCACTACAGCATGAGTTCCATCCCCCGCCAGGGAGCTGACCCACATGGTACAACAGGCCTCTCCTGTATCACCCACTGCTCCCCTCAGCAATGTGTTTCAATCAATCTGCCTGTTCTGCTCCCCATTCTGTCCCTGGTGAATCCTCTCACCACCCCCACCTCTGTCCTGTACCCCAGTTCTTGCATGCATAAGTTATTCGTTCATCCCACATTGGGTCAATGGGGAAGGGCTCATGGAGCCTGAGGGAGGGAGGGCTGCAGTTCCACAGACACTTCACATCTCAAATCTCCTAGGTTAAAAATCATAGCACCGATGGCTGCATCCCAAAAGCACTTCCTGTTTTCTTTCTGGAGCAATTTAGTGAGATCACTGTGTCTTCCATTCATTTCTTAAGAGAGATGCTTCCTGTGGCCTTACTTTCGTCAGTTCATTTAGCCATTCCCCATCAATAAACGCTCCTGAGTCTCGCTGTGCAGGGTCCTGGCATTCGGAGGGAGGTCTATAAATTCCATTGAACTTAGATGTAATATTATGTACTCATGAGTTTCAAGCACTTTGATGGCTGAAGAGGGTCACTAGTTTCCCCAATATTTCAAGGGAATACAGAAAGTCAAAAAATTCCGGACTTGATCCTCAGAGGGCTGATCCCTTTCATGTTGCTGTCAAAAACCCTGCAGGAGTCCACTCCTGCACTCTGCAGAATGATGGACCCCATCTGGGGCTCATTCTTGAATGACATCTAGGCACAAAATCTGATAAAAAGCAATGTATCCTATAAAGCCAAGCAAAGGTGAGGGTCCAAGCACCCTGAGAATTGGGTACAATGTCAAAATCCAATAATCGACCAGAAGCCCAGAGCACCTGTCTACGAAATGTAAATACCTTGTACTGTGATTCTGTACAAGTCTCCTCCTTCCTCACAATGGACCCCAACTGCACCATCTCTCCATGAGTATGAATCTCGGCAACCTCCAAGACTTCTCAGCCTGACACCCAGGGCATGCTGCCCAGCTTCTCATCCATGTCCAGAATCTGGCCTTTTCTCCAGAACATGTCTATGTCTTATTCACCTCTACCCCTACCTAGTGCCTGGTTCAGGAGACCCCAGTAAATGCTCCTATCTAAACTAATAGTTTAGTTTTACATCATTTTGTGCCTTTTTCATCTCTTCGTAATCCCCGTGGGCTTCCCACCACCAAATCACCCATGTGCCATCACCATAGTCCAGTGCACTTCCCTCCCCCCATTTTTGATCCCATTTCCCACTCCACCCCTGTAAAATGTCTCTGGTATACAGTTGTGCATTATTATTATTTTTTTTCTCCTTGGACCTTCTGCTTTTTTTTTTTCTTCTTCTTCAAAGATTTATTTACTTATGCATTCAAGAACTGAGGTGCAGGCCAGAGGTGCAGGGGGAAGAGGGTGAGAGGATTCACCAGAGACAGAGTGGGGAGCAGAACAGTCAGATCTACTGAAATACACTGCTGAGGGGAGCAGCAGGGAGACAGGAGAGGTTTGCTGCACCATGTGGGTCACCTCCTTAGTTGGGGATCAAGCTTGTGCTGCAGTGACTGCAAAGAGCTTCATAGTACTGCACCCCAATCCTCCATGCCACCAGGGAAGCCCACAGCTGGACCTTCTTAAGTAGCAGATACTGGTTTCGGAGCAAGCTAGACGCTGGCGCCCACAACTAAGAGTGGGCCCGGTTTCCTCTTCTGTGCCAGTGAGAGCAACACCAACTCACATCTTAGGCTTCCTGGACCCTAGTCATATCCAGCCAGGTCATCACATGAACTCAAAATGTTACCTTCTGATAATCTTCTTTACCATCCTCCCTCCCTTCCCTTCTCTTTCTTTTCTTTTCCTTTTTGCAAGATTTGCAAGATCGTGGAAAAGATTCCATTGTCACGCTGACACATGCTCCACCTTTTCCTTAGCTGCCCAGCAGGGAAGTTTGCAGGAACACAGTTGGTAGAAAGAAAGAAGGATTACAAATAAAAGCTCCAACCCTTCGTGCCTGAGACCAGAAGAAGGGTCTGGCAGTGGGCGACGGAGCCAGTGGGGCCTGGGTACCTTTCAGCTGAGCTGGGTGGCGGCACTGGAAGGAGCACTTGCTGCCATAGGTGGTTCCCTCGAGGCAGGAGAAGGAGGCCGCATAGACGTGGTGCTGATCCGGGAGGCCGCAGTCCACTGGCTCACACGCCACCTGCTTGTTCCACTTGCCCTCGGTGCAGGTCACTGTGACGCTGGGACCCGTCTGTAAGGCAGAGGTGGGCACAGTGAAGAGGGGCTGAGCTCATTCCCAATGTGGGGGCACCCTGCCCTGCCCAGACTGCAACTCAGAGTCTTGTATGCGCCGCAGGACGTGAATGATTAGTGCTCAAATTAGACCCACTTTGAGGGATACAAAACTATGAATTGGGTGCTTTTTAGTCCTATTTGACAGACTCAGAAACTGAGGCTTGGCGACTTTGAGTGATTTTTCCCAAATCGAAAGGATACATGGGATGTTTACTCCAAAGCTACATTCTGTCTCTTTTTTAAAGATTTATTTATTTATGCATATAGAAGTGGGGTACAGGACAGAGGTGCGGAGGCAGTGAAAGGATTCACCAGAGACAGAGTGAGGAGCAGAACAGGCAAACTGATGAAGTACACAGCTGAGGGGAGCAGTGGTCAGGAAGAAGAGGTCTGCTGTGCTGTGTGGGTCAGGGTTTGAACTCACACTGAAGCAGCTGTGGCTCACTTGCAGTGCTGCCCTTGAATCCACTGCATCACCAGGGAGGGCCCAAAGCTATATTCTAACTGTTAGATATAGTCCCCAGACCATCAACTCCATCGTACCAAGAACTGTGAGGCTCTTGGCCATGATGATTTTCTTTACCAAAATAGCCACTGCAGCATGGCCCAGTGGTGAGACACCGGCTCTTGATCTCTGTATCTTTTCTTGGCTCTGAAGGAGGTCACAGGGGTCCTGGCTTGCAGCAGGCATCCCCACGTGCTACATGGCCACCCCTGTCTGTGATTGCGTTCTCCTACTGGCACTGGAACCAAAGATACTAAAAGCCTCTCTCTCCTGTGAAAGCCTATGTTTCCATAGTTATGGGATGCAGACATGAAGAAGGAACAGGGTTAGGAAAAACGGAAGTGCCCACAGGAACTGGACTGATATAGACGATGGTGATGCTTGGGGGGAGACAGGAGAGGCCACGCAGGGAGCCAAGGGCCAGACAGTCACCACAGTCCACGGCTTCCGTTCAAGGAGAAAGCTGCCAAATCCCGGGAGGTTGGGAGGCCAACTGTTGCACTGAGATCTCAAGAGCAAAGGACCTTTTCCCCTCTTAAGCACACATCAAAGGGAGCAGAGGGCCCTCACTGCCAAGAAGCTGAATTGTTTCCACAGGAGCTCAGACCTGCCACGGCCGACACACAGTAGGAGGTGTCTTGGATGAGCAATCAGGGGCCCTTGGGCTCCCATACGGGACTCCACTCTAGGTAGAAGCTCTGTATAAACAGGCATTCCCAACAATCAACAGCAGCGTGGCCTGCATGCTCACTGTGAAGACAAAGTCCACAAGCAGGGCCTGGAAAGGCTGAATCTAGTGCCAGAGCTCTGGAACCCTCCAATCTCAGGCTTCACTGCTACCTATCCTGCACTGAGACTGCACAGCATGCCACGTTGCAGCCGCCATCTGCCACTCCATAAATCCATTCACTTCACTGGCCTCCAGGACATGTCCGTTTCTCCCTGAGTTCTACTGACTTCCCTGGGGTCCTCCAGTGGCCAGTCTTATGGTCAGATAGTCACACCCAAGTGGGCAGTCCCAGGGTCTCTATTCACGATGATCAGACTATGCCATCTCGATAACAGCTCCCTGTTCCCAGTAGTTAAACTGTACACTTCTGAGCAAACCGACAGGGCCTTACATGGGTGGACCTTGCCTGCCCAGCTCTAGCCTCACAGCTTGGATGAGTTCAGAAAAAGAGAAACCTCTTTCTCACCGGTGGGCTTCTACCTACCATGCCTGCCTATGTCCAGGGCACATATTTCTTCCCTCCCCAGCATACAGCCCTCTGTCAACCTATCTAGTTTCCAGTTTCATGTCACTTCCTCCAGAGAGCCTTCCTTGATTCCCCATTTCCACATTCCCCTATGTTCTTCTTTATGTTGTGATCACACAGTGATTTCATTTTCCATTCATTGTCTGCCATCACTAGTTTCTTGAGATTCTTTTATTTTTTATTTTTTTATGCATACAGAACTGGAGTACAGGCCAGAAGTGAAGGGGTGAGAGGACCCACCAGAGGCAGAGTGGGGAGCAGAAAAGGCAGATTGACAAAGTACACTGAGGGGAGCAGGAGAGGTCAGCTAGGCCCTGTGGGTCACCTCCAGGGCCGGGGATTGAACTCGTGCTACAGTGGCTGTGATAGCTTCCTAGTACTGCCATCAGGGAGGGCCCATCTTGAGGTTCTTGAGAGCAAGGACAGCCCTACTCTAGCCCTCCAACTCCCATGGCACCTAATGCAGTATCTGGTTCTCAATGAACAAACATGGGTGTTTTGTGATGAATCCGTGAATGAAATAATGAAGACAGAGGACCCCCCTCTACTTAAAGCAGCCTATTTGATTGTAGTAGTCCTCTGACTGTAGAAGTTTCATTCCAAAATACCAGCCCATGACCTTCCCGACTTGCAAAACACACACAGAGCCTAATATGTGTCGTGTAAAACCCTCTGCACAGGAACTATTGTCTTAGAAGCTCCAGATTCTCTCCATCAATACACTGATATCAACTGAGCACCAACCAGGAGGTTGGTGCTTGATAGATATGAAGAGCTGGGTATTTGGCACAAAACACCTGAAGCCCGGTTAGCGCATTTCCAGGGCTGCAAGCCCAGCATCTATACACACCTGGCTCTTGATCAGTTCATCATCCCGCCGGATCTGGAGCACGTGGCCTGTCTGGCAGCTCACTGTGCACTGGGCACCATGGTAGCGGTCACTGCTGGAGCAGTTGAGAGATGCGTTCTGCACAGCCAGCTCAGGACAGTCTGTGGCCTCGCAGGCAAAATGCACGCAGCTGGAAAGGAAAGAAAGCAGGGGGTTAGCGGGAGCCATCCCGTCAGCTTACTGCCCTCCAGCTGGAAGCTAAAGGCTCACTGTCCCCTCTCCAAAATGTTAGGAGGAAGAGGAGACAGGAGGGAAGAGGTGCTGGCTTGGTAAGAGGACCCTGAAGGCAGGGTCAAGTTTATCATTAAGAGAACATGCCTGGACCCGGCAGGGTTCACATCCTGGTACCTGAAAGCTTTCTGGATTAGTATACCTCCAACCTGACAGAATATCAGTTTTCCCTGTGTGAAATGGGAACAGTATGACCACAGCTAGGATTCACTGAGTGTCTTACGCCAGGCATGAAATGAAGATAATACTCTTCAAACCTTACAATACAATTTCTGAGGATCACTGCAAGGATTCAATCAGAGAGTTTGGGAAGAGAACAGAGCAGAATTCCAAGCCTCCAATAAATGGTAGTCCATGGTATAAGAAAATCTGTGCTTCATCCCTAGAAGCTGTGTGACTCTGGGCAAGGTACATCACCTCTCTTGAGCATCAGAGCACTCTCACGTTGGGCCAACCCAAAAGGAACTGACCCCGCTGAGGTGTTGAATGTGGAAGTCTGGGAAGGTGACCTCTGTGTTGTTAGTGAAGCCGTAAGGAGCTCAAGCCCTTGTCCTGCTCCAGCTGCTATCCCGTCTCCTGCCAATCTGAAGGCTCATCGTGAGTATGAGCTTCATGGAAACTTCTGCAGAAATCTTCCCTGCTGTCACCAGATGATCTGTCTTCCAGGTACTCTGTCCCACCTTCGCTAATGCTTCTGTCTCACGCTTCATGCAGGAAATACAATGCACAGGCCCGTGGTGCCTCCATGGGGCTGAATACGTGCTAACTCTTATGAACATAATCGGAAACGACCCAAAGTCTCTGCTTGGGTGATCGTTCCCTTTCTAGTAGAGTTACACAGACACTCAGTAACATTAGTGACTATTCATGGATTGCTTATATACATGAGCTCACTCCATCCACACAACCCCATGAGCTAAGTGTTATTCATTTTATAGTTGGAAAAATCAGGGACCAGTGAGATTAAGTTACTTGTTTAAGCTACCACCCAGATGTGGGAGTCCAGAGTCCTTGTTGTTAACCTACCCCACACCTGCATTAGACGTTCTTTGAGAGTAAAGATAAAGCCTTTTTCCACCTTGATAAACTCCTCATTGCAATAAAAACACCTTGCTTTCACTAAATGTTTCTTAAGCAGCAGAACAAATGGCCGCCATGCGTTAAAAGGAATCTTTAGCATTTTTTTTTTAAAGATTTATTTATTTGTGCATACAGAACTGGGGTACAGGCCAGAGGATCAGGGGCGATGAGAGGCTTCACCAGAGACAGAGTGGGAAGCAGAACAGACAGATCAACGAAGTACACTGCTGAGGGGAGCAGCGGGCGGGTCAGGAGAGGTCTGCCACGCCATGTGGTCGCCTCCAGGGCAGGCGGGAATCGAACTCATGAGGAAGCGGCTTTAGATTCTCACTGCTGTGCTTTAACCCGCTGCGCCACCAGGGAGGGCCGAATCTTTAGCATTTTGTAAAGGTGCCGGGGGTGAGCGCCAATGCAGAAGGCTTCTGGGAGCAGTTTGCTCTAACGTTTGCCCCCCTGGTTCTTTCTACCCCAAGCCTGGCAGACAGGTTACACAGACAGATGTGCACCTGGTGCCGCGGGCTGCCATTTTCCTGTTTTTATCCAGAAAACAGGGAGCGCTGCAGCTGAAGAAGAAACTCCCAATGTTTTTCTTGGTGCCAGCTGCAGCAAGATCTGGTGGGAGCACAGTCACTTAGCCCACGCTCTATTCCCTGCTCAAAAGGACGGTGAGAATGCCAGTGCGGTGGACAGGGAGCTCAGGACCCACACAACTCCCACACACATCCTAGCAAGACCCCCTGCTTAAATACTTGGAAAAGGGCAAGTGTTTGACCTAGGTCTCAGGCCCGTACCTACGTGGGCTCTGCACACCCCACATCTCGTCACTACCAAAATCCACCGTGGGATTAAGTGACGCTTACGGAGAGTCAGATTCTCCGCCCTCTTGCTTGTGCCTGCAGCATCCTCCATGTGGCGACCTCGAAGAGACTGTTTCTGGAGAGCCAGTGCTGCTGACACGAAAATGCATCTGTGCACGCTGTGTAAACTCTGGGGGGAAGATCACACGGTTCCAATTCAGAGCGACGGGCTCTGAGCTCCAACTTCCAAGCTGGTCTCCTGACCTGCTTGCAGGCTTCCCTGGCTTTGCATGGTGAAGAGACCCTTCTCAACTCCTGGTTCCCAGTTCAGGACCTCTGGACTGTGAGATCACTAAGATAAAAACAGCTCCCCCCACTTCTGCCCTCTAATGTTTTTGTTGGGAAAAGATAAACTAGGAAACTTGATTTGCTAGAAAAAAAAAAAATACACAGTTTAGCCAGGGGGCATGTCTAGGCTTCAGGCCCGGCTCTGCCATGGTTCACTTGGAAATATAACCCTGCAGAGTTATATAATGCATGGTGCCTCAGTTTCCTCCTTTGTAAAGTGGAGACAATCAGGTGATTGACCTCTCGAGATTGTCAACAGGGCTGACACAACAGCCACTCGTTTGTCTATTCCAAGGACCTTGCCTGAGGCCCTGCTGTGTAACCAGATATGGCTCTGAATGGTGGGGACCAGTGGGGACAGCCGAGATTCCCATCACCCTGTGCATACAAGGAGGGAGGACAAGTACCAAGGAAGCCAGGTAGCGATGCCAGTAATAAAGGCTTTTAAACATGAATCAGAGGAGTGGGGTAGAGGGCACCCTACACATGGGCTCAAGGGAGGCTTCCACGAGGAGGGCTTGAGTTAAGACCCTGATGTCATCCGGGAAGAGGAAAGGTCATGTGTCAAGGTCCAGGACAGATGGAGCTCAGTGTGTGTGTAGAAGAGCAAGGCCGTTGTCAGAAATGCTCTGGAAGTAAGAAGTACATGGCAAGGCAGGTGGTCCCTCAGCTCTGGCTCTTTTTGCTCCCTGGTCACATGAATTACCTGACCAGTCAGCTCCATCCTTGGAGAAGGGTAACATGGATGAATGAGACCGGTCAACTGTCTTCATTGCTGACTTCTCAGACCTTGAACATTCCACTGCCTGGTGTGGATTTCCAGAAGGAACGAGGGACCCATCGTTTTCTGAGCTGTGATAACTTTTGTTATTGGACAACTGGAAAAAGGCTAGGATCTTCCCTAGCTGCAAGACCACACTTTGGGGAGTGAGGCATCCTTGCTTTTTCAGCACATCTGTCTATACTTGACTTATATGCTTAAGACCGGGAAGAAAAGAAAGAAGACAGGTAGGAGTACAAAGACTTGGTAGCTGGGTTTTACCTACAACATGCCATTCACATTCTCCTGGTGATTCCCTGAGGTGGGTCACTAGTCCTGTTCTCAAGAAGAGGAGACTGGGACCAAGAGAATTCAATCACTTGTCCAAAAGCTCTCAGGTGTCTAGGATTCCAACACAAGATTGCCTGCCTGTCCCCCAAGTCCCTGTGCTTACCTGGCAGGTGGGAAGTGTAGTTAGAAAGCACTGTCCCCAAGACTAGACATTGCCCCACCGCCCAGATGACTCCCTCACAGAGCCCTGTTAGTTCTGAAACGCAGAAATGAGAATCACAACAAGGAAAATGAAACAAAAGAAAAGCCTCTGCTTGCATAAAAAATGGGGGGAGGATTTCCTACCAGTGACAGTGATGGACAGTTAAGAAAAATAATATAAGGAGAAAAGGAAGGCATTGCTCAGAACAGAGGAAAGTGGCTGATGGGGGAGGGCCACTGTTAGTCCAATCAATGAAATTCTCAGCCCAGGAAAAGATGGAGATACCTCCCCCTCTCTGGATGTGGAGATCATCAGATACTAGTGAATTTTCGGTTGTTTTTGCATATATGCATACATACATGCATACACATTAATATATAATAATTTAGATATTACATATTTTTATTGATTTAAATATTTATATATTTATTTATTTGCACACTCAATTCCATATAGAGAGATAGATTCTTAAGTCATCTGACCGCCAAAACCCTGCAAGTGCTGCCAATTGAAATGGACCCTGACCATGGGTAACAGTGCATGTGGGCATGGCTCATGCAGCCCCGAAGTTAAAGGGGTGGTAAGAACCCCCAGCCCTGGGGTCAGTCCCTTGACTCCCGGCTTCACTCCGGTGGGCCAATACTTAGCTGCATGTATGCATTGGCAGGTAGAGACAATAACGGGCCGGTTGCTCACAAATCATCTGTTGCTCAAAGGAGACAACAAAAAGAACATCAGGTTCAATGCTGGAATGTGAAGGGCAAAATGCCCTTGGCACAAACGTTGCAGGGTCGTCCCTGGGCAAGCGAGCCTAGGTGTCACTAAGATAGGACTCATCTTTCTGTGCAGAACTGAGGCATTTTAGGCACTTTGGAATTCAAAAGTGAGGACAGGGTGAGGTTTTGATGGGTAGGGATGCAAGGTTAGTGGCCGGTGGGGTCCAGGAAAATGATGTGAATGGGGAGAGGGCTGAGTGGAAGACCCGGTAGAAGCTGGGTGTCCGAGCCTCGAGCCAGCTCAAGGTGACCTGGTGGGAACTGTCAGGGTGGTCCTAGGCTGGTGTGTCTTTGAGAGGAGGAAGAATTTAGTCCATACTAAATTTTAAATATTGATGAATATTAAAAGTTAATACTTAAATGGTGACAACTAACTCAAGCAGGTGACCAACAGGGGCCTGTCTGATGTGGCTATGGAAGCAGTCTCGAAACTTCTGATGAGGAGGAAAGAGCTTTGTCCTTGAGACCTGAGAATGGCATTCAAATTCCAACTCTGTTCCCTAACCTGCCAATTTTGAGCACCTCTCCCCATTGCCTGCACCTCAGGCCCCCTCTTCCATGAGGCTGGAGAACAGGGAACCTCTTAGAATCTTCCCAGCTTTCAGGGATCTTGGACAAGACAACACAGTTCCAAAGGCACATAGTTCAGCATCCTTTGGAAAGGGAAAAAAATAGACTTGCCAATTCCAAGTACTGACAAGGATGGAAGGGACCCAGGGAAATCCTGGCAGACCACTGATGGGCACGGCAGTGAGACGCTGCAGCAGAGAAGACTCAGGCAGGGATACACACCGGCTTAGGCACGGCTGTCCCAAGAGCAGGGAAGTACCCTAGACCAGTGATCCCCTATAATGTGCTGAGAGGCTCTGGTCCCTTGGTGGGCAGTGAACATTGGGTGAGCTTGTGGGCAGCCATCAGAGGCTTGAGGTCAAGGTCTTTTCCATAAGAAGCTTTGTGCTGGGCTCCAAATCTTACATCTAAGTTTCTACTTTGTCACCTAAGGGGATGTTCCCCACATAGGCTCTGATCAGAGCAGACTCACAGGGTTCCGGGGGCTCCGGAGGACAGGCATTTCCACCCAGCCAAGTCCACCCCGCTGGCAGGGATCGATCTGGTTGCAATGAGGAGGTCTGCCCCTGAAGTTAGCCTTGCAAGAGTTAGTGCGCTGTCAGAACTGCCGGTCCCTACATGGGACTGCCTTGCACAAGTGGCAAGAGTTTGCAATAAAGGAAGAGAGTACAAGAAGTAAAAGGAAGTGGGGGAGGGGCGGAGGGAGAGAGGGAGGAAGGAAGGAAATGGAAAGTTTATTGCTTAGAACCTTAAAGACAGAAGCAGTGTGAGTCTATGCATGCGCATGTGTCTGCCTGTGTTCTTGGGGGTTTGTTAGACTCACAAAAGGTTCAATTTGCAACTGCTGTTCTTCCTCATTGGCCAAAGCTCTTAGCACTCCCACCCCCCATCACCACTAAGGTCCCCATCTTTCTCCCTTCCTTCCACACCTTATGGAGCTGGGATTTGGCTAAAATTCCACAACTGGACCTCTCATTTGAAACCTGATCCTGCTTTCTTGGACCCCTGAATTTATTCAAGTCCTGCCTCAGCACTGGAGATCCTGGAATCTAGGTCAGAAAACGCTGCACATGCCTGGATTGATTTTACTGTTGTGAGGCTTCTCCCTGGTGGCCTACGAGGCACCACACTGCTCTGCTCTGGGCAGAGAAGGAAAATGAGGAGGGGAAAAAAACAGGGTGGGAGGGAGGAGCCCAAGGAGAAGAAGAGGAGGGAGGAGAGAAAGTCAGAGAGAATAGATGTGGGAGGAGAGGGGAGGGAGTGGAGGCGGGATGGGTGGAAGTGGGGTGGGCTGGAGGGGGAGGGGAGAAACAGCCCCTTGCAGTACCTGCAAAACAACTGGGTGCAGAGTGGGCTGTTTCTCCTCAGCTGAGATTTGTGCTCTCAAGTGACACTCTACCCTGGTGTGTTGAGAATGAGGAAAAACATCGTAGCTTTTTGCCGCTGTTGCTCATTTTACATTTCTCTCCTGGTTTGTTTGCTTGACTGTCGTTGGACATATGCATGGTGCTCTCTATTGGGGTGAATGTCCCTTCAGCTCCCAGGGACATGTGCCACCCTGCCCTTACCCCTACAGTACTGAGAGGAGCTCCAGCAGCCCCGCGGCCTCCATTCCAGGAGCTCACCTGGCCCAGTCTGGGCCAAGTTCAGGGCCAAGCTAGCTCCTCAGGGCCCTCAGGCTGTGTATCACTTGGCTCAGTTTCACCAACTATTTGCTTCTATGAGACCAGCCCCAAGAAGCCTCCCAGCTATGCCCAGCTCTGGTGGGCTGGCGTCTGACACCTTCATCTTTTCCTGCAGCGGGGCTTGACTCAGTCACTGCACCTGGAATCAGGTTGCTGATGAAATTAGATAAGGAAGTGAAGTACCTGGGCCCCTTCCTCTTCCCTCTGGGGAATCGCAGATTGCTAGCGCTGCAAAGGGCCGGGGTCAGCATCCCATCTTCCTCATTTCATTGCCGCGGAAACTGAGGCCCAGAGGAAGAGAGGCTCACAGTCCCACAGCGAGAGCACTTAGGGCCACATGGCCCGGTTCTGTGTTCTTCCCCAGCAAGTCAAAGAACACAGCAAGTACTTAGTGATGGATTCATTTTGAGGTCAAACACTTCTTTCTGCTCTATTGTGGGCACAGAATCTATTCATTAGGAATTCACCAAGAAATTAGAGCTGGCCTCGGGTAACTCCTGGATTGGCCGTGAAGCCGGGTCAGGGTGGGAGAGCAGCTAGGGAGAGTCGGATGGGTTTGCCCCTCCATCCACGCTGCTTCCTGAGGGTCTTAGAACTGACTGACTTTTATAGTTGGGAGAGGCAGGGAGGAAAGCCCCCTTTGGGTGAAATATAACAATGAGTGATACTCAAGGAGTCCTTTGCCTCCAATGATTGCAACAGGCTTTGCACAACAGCTGCCAGACTCAGTGGGCACATACAAAGTGGGTTTTGCAGCCACCTTTTGTGTCTGCTGTGGTAGCAGGGGCGTGGGAAAGACAGGGGGTCCCTCCACACTTGGTTCCTCTCCTTGCTCCCTCCCAGGCACAGGGGCCTTTTGGAGGAGTCTTGGGGGAGCCACTGAGATGACCACTTTTTCTTCCTCCCTTTGGCACCATTGAGCTGATGAGAGAGACGCTGCGGGACTCTGGACCAGTCCTTCCCCTTTTAGGGCTCTGGAATTCTAGAAGCTTCAGGGAAGTGGGGACACTTTGGAGGTACTTGGTGGTCCCTGAGGCTTCTTCCAGGTCTAACGCAAAAAAACACAGGCAGAACACCATGCAGTACAGTTCCATTTCCTATGTGTCAGAAAACGGTGATGCATGTCCTTTTGAATCTTGAATCTCACAGGATGTGTGACAGTTTACAGGTGCATTTCATGGACAGTGCAACCTTTGACTTCATAACTGCCCACTGGTGGCAGTCTATTGTCTGCTCAGTAAAGGGGAGACTCAGAAAAGTGAAGTGGTTTGTCCAAGGACAGAGCGAAGGAGGGAGTGACAGCCAGGTGAGTGCATCTCCACAGCTGTGCTCTTTTCACAAAGATAATCAGCAAACACCACCCCCTCTGGGTTCTAAACTAGGTGCATTCACAGGTGCCAGATCAAACGCATGGATGGAGAGAGGATCTGCAGTTAAAGACAGGCTCTGGGATCCCTCAGTGGCTAGGTTGGGAAGACAGAGACTTCACCCATCTCTGAAACACACACTGATCAGTGAGGAAGCAAACACCAGCCCGCCACCATCCCCCAAATTTAGGAGGGTTATGCCTCCTGCCGATGCTACTCAGGGATCACAAAATGCCAGCGTTTCAGAGCTTGAGGGAGCTAATCCACTTATCCTCTCTTTGTTCAAAGGAGGATGCTGAGGCCCAGAGAGGGAAATGATGGTTCAGGGTCACCCCACGCACCACTGTCTGCTCTGGGGCTGCAAGGCAGGCAAAGAAGCTTCTTTTTCCACCACATCCCCCTCCTTCTCTCCCTCACCCCTGGCATTCAGAGACATACAGCCTCCCAGGCCCAAAGGCAAGCCAGCCAGGGGTCAGAGAATGGGGAAGGGAGAAACACACGTTTTACAGCAACGCATGTGGTTCCCCTGCTCTGGAATCTCCCTTTCCCACTTGGCTATAGAAGGGCCCAGATCGGGCAGACGCAAGCTCTCTTACCTCTGCTCCGTGGGGCTGTAGGTCTCCCCTCTCTGGCAGCTGCTCAGGGTGACAGGGTCAAAGTTGTCGAAGGAACGCAGGGCCACCCCCGAGATGGCGACCAGGGGTGAACTGAAGCTCACACGTACCGCCTGGCTGTGGTAGAAGGGCTGGCTGAGGTCATGGACCACAGGGATAATCAGAGGATTGTTCCTGCAGCTCAGGACGTGGAGGCCTGTCAGGGAAACAGAGGGCCGAGGGGCCAGGCTCATTACTCAAGGCCAGTCACGCCCTCCGCAACGGGCCCTTCCCGAAGCCCCCAGACCCTTTCATGTCACTGCACAAAAGCACCATTGGGTGGCCGGTGGGGATTTTGAGTTTGATTGAAAGTTTCTTTGTCTGCCCTTTTCTCTTGGTTCCAAATCTTTCCATTCCCCTTGCTTCCCTGCCCCCTAAGCTTCCCCTTCACCTACAGCCCACCACTCCTCTCCCTCCCCCAAACGGCCACCCTGGCCCAGTAATACTGGCCCTCACCTCCCTCCCACACTGCATGAGGCCTGACAGTCTGAGGGGCTAGTTCTTGGGCTGTCTTCCTGGCCAGATACATAGTACAGATGATGGCCATAATTCATAGCAACAGGCTTCTGCCGGCCAGGAAGGCCTGCTCTCGAAGGGCTTCTGGAAGCCTGGGATCAGTGACTGTGGTAAAGACTCCTGAGCCCACTATTCAGGGAGGAGGCTGAATGCATGAGGTGGTTTTCAGGACAGAACAGCCATGACAGAAACTGAGAGTCGATCTAAGTGGGCCTCCCTGGACAGCTTCAGTGCTCCTGTCCAGAGAGAAGGCAGGGCCAGAACACAGACAAAGGAGGGGAGAGCGTGTGTGTGTGTGTGTGTGTGTGTGTGTGTGTGTGTGTGTGTACGCACGCACGCATGCAGGGCGGCAGGGCATTGGCACTGAAGGCCTCAGTGCTGAGCTCGGTCTCGCTACTTGTGAATGACATGATTCCAGCAGCCCCTGAAATCCGGTCCCTGCGTCTACACACTGGCTTGTCCTTACCAGGCCTGGCATCTGCACACTGGCCCATCCTAACCA